ATTGCATCTGGTTATTGTCTCTTGAGCCTAAAACAGATCCCACCTCAACTTTTTAAAAATGATACTGTGCTTTTGAAGAGGCTAGACCAGTTGTCTCATAAAATGTACTACATTCTAATTTTGTTCAATTATTTTCTCTTGGAGTCATTTAATTTGTTCTTCTATCTCCTATATATACTATAAACTAGAAGTTAGGTATAATGGCTTGATTCCAGATCCCTCCACTGTAAAGGTATATTTACCCTTTGCAAATATAAATAATCTGTAAGATAGTCCTTGGCAACAAGTGAATATCCTCTTCCCAAGCAATCCTTTACTTATTAATGTTTTTGATATCTACTAATGATCCTTGCTTAAATCTATTAAGGCTACAAAGGTTCCTCTCTTTAGAGGGCAAATTAATTTCAAACCCTACAGACTTAACCTATAGATATACTTGCATATATGCACAAAATATAGAAGAACACATAAGTATATTCTATACATTTTTTTTTTTTTTTTTGAGATGGAGTTTCGCTCTTGTTGCCCAAGCCGGAGTGCAATGGTGCGATCTCGGCCCACTGCAACCTCTGCCTCCCAGGTTCAAGCAATTCTCCTGCCTCAGCCTCCAGAGTAGCTGGGATTACAGGCGCACGCTACCACGCTGGCTAATTTTTTGTATTTTTAGTAGAAATGGGATTTCACCATATTAGCCATGATAGTCTTGAACATCTGACCTCAGGTGATCCTCCTGCCTCGGCCTCCCAAAGTGCTGGGATTACAGGAATAAGCCACTGTGCCCAGCCTATTCTGCACCATTTTTAATAGCACAAAATTACAAAATGTATATTCATCTTCAGGAGATAGGTTAAATTATAGTACTTCCATGTAATTATGATATAGGAAGTTCAACTTTTTTTTTTTTTGAGACAAGAGTCTCGCTCTGCCGAGTGCAGTGGTATAATCTTGGCTTACTGCAACCTCCGCCTCCTGGTTCAAGCAATTCTCTTGCCTCAGCCTCCTGAGTAGCAGGGTCTAGAGACCACAGGTGTGTATTAGCACGATCAGCTAATTTTTGTAGTTTTAGTAGAGATGGGGTTTTACCATGTTGTCCAGGCTGGTCTCGAACCCCTGGCCTCAACTGATCCTCCTGCCTCGGCCTCCCAAAATGCTGGGATTACAGGTGTGAGCCACCGTGCCTGGCCAACATTTTTCTGATATATAATAATCTTTAAGATATATCATTATAGCTTGACTTCATCTCCTAACACTCTCTTCTTTCCTTACTCTTCCTCAAACACTCAAAAGCCCTAGAGCACATTCCTAGCTCTGGGACTTTCACTTTTCCTTCTGCCTGGAATGCACTTTCCCAATTCAGGTCTTTGTTCTTATAGGATAGAATAAGCTTTCCCTGACCTCCCTACTTAAAACAGTCCTATGTCCTTAGCTCCAACACTTTCTATTCCTTTATCCTGATTTGACTTTTCTTCATAACTTTACTACCTCATGATATGTTTACTGGTTTATTTCCTTATTATATTTCTTCCCCAACACTAGAATTGTCAGCCCCGGTGGAATTTACTTGCTTTGTTCAGAACTATATCCTTAATGCATAGAACAGCAATTTTATAGTAAGTACTTAAAGGAATTGTTTTTCATTCACATGTGTAAAGCCATGATTCACAAGATTGTATATGTTATGCTATAAGCCAGTATAGACATAAAGTATCTTTAGGATGCTCAAGAAACTGGTAATAGTGGTTGCCTCTAGTGAGGTGAAATGGGAGGGTGGGGAATACTGATGAGGGAGACTTACTACAATGTATACACTTAATCACAGTCTAAATTTTTAACCATGTACATTCATGAAGAACATAAAGGCTGGGCACAGAGGCTCACATCTGTAATCCCAGCACTTTGGGAGGCCGAGGTGGGTGGATCACCTAAAGTCAGGAGTTTGAGACCAGCCTGGCCAACATGGTGAAACTGTCTCCACTGAAAATACAAAAATTAGCCAGGCATGGTGGCACATGCCTGTAGTCCCAGCTACTTGGGAGGTTGTGGCAGGAGAATCGCTTGAAGCCAGAAGCAGAGGTTGCAGTGAGCTGAGATCACGCCAGCCTGGGCAACAGAGCGAGACTCCATCCCAATAAATACATAAATAAATAAATAAATTTAAAAAATGGATGTGGTTTTTTTTTGTTTTTTTTTTTTGAAACAGGGTCTCACTTTGTCATCCAGGCTGGAGTGCAGTGGTGTGATCTCAGCTCACTGCCACCTCAACCTCCTGGGCTCGAGAGATCTTCCTACCTCAGTCCACCAAGTAGCTGGCACTACAGGCATGTGCTAGCACACCCGGCTAACTTTTTTGTATTTTTTTGGTAGAGACAGAGTTTTGCCATGTTGCCCAGGCTGGAAAAATTAATGTTAAACCCAGCACTTTGGGAGGCTGAGGCGGGTGGATCACTTGAGGTCAGGAGTTCAAGACCAGCCTGGCCAACATAGTGAAATCTCATCTCTACTAAAAATACAAAATCAGCTGGGTGTGGTGGTGTGTGCCTGTAATACCAGCTACTGAAGACTGAGTCAGGAGAATCACTTGAACCCGGGAGGCAGACTGCAGTGAGCTGAGATTGCACCTCTGCACTCTAGCTTAGGTGACTCTGTCTCAGAAAGAAAAAAAAAAAACACTAATGTTAAAAATTTTTTAAAATATGCCCAAACAACATCCTAATTTAATCTGCTGCCCCTTTTTTGAACTTTATGCAGGTATCTTTCTCAACAAATTTTTAAGGCTTTAACTTTGTTTCATAAGCTTGTTCCGTTCAGACAAGGCTGTTTTGACATCAGTACAACTAGAAAGTAATCACCATGAGCTATGAAGTCAGCATGAATATTTTACTCATTACATGCTATGTAAAAGACTACAAAGATATATGCCAACATGTTAACAATGATTACTTCTCATTAGACAGCTAATGGGTCTTTATGCTTCCCTAAATGTTACTTTCTACACTAAGCATAAATTACTTCTATAATCAGAAAAAAAAATGTACTTTTTTAAAAAGATGAGATATAAATAAAATAAAAATTCACACTTAAAAGAACAATTTCTTCTTTTTTTTTGAGATAGAGTCTCCCTCTGTTGCCCGAGGCTGGAGTGCAGTGGCTCGATGTCTGCTCACTGCAACCTTTGCCTCCCGGGTTCAAGCGATTCTCCTGCCTCAGCCTCCCGAGTAGCCGGGCTTACAGGCACATGCCACCATGCTCGGCTAATTTTTTTTTGTATTTTTAGTAGAGACGGGGTTTCAGCATGTTGGTCAGGCTGGTCTTGAACTCCTGACCTCATGATCCGCAGGCCTCAGCCTCCCAAAGTGCTGGGATTACAGGTGTGAGCCACCGCACCCAGCCAACAATTTCTTCTTAATACACAAATATTTTCTATAATTGTGACATTAATATAAAATGAAGGAAGGCATTTCAAATATAATCATTTTCCTTAGGATTCCAAAAAGTAATTTTATAGTAAAATTCCCATTATATTCATTTTCATACTACAATAACTTTTTCCTTATATATTGTCTTATTATTCTAGCTTGGAACATACAATCAATGTAATTCTATGCTTATTTTAAAAGCATAAGACAATTCTGAATATGTTATCCTTTTAAAGGATTTTACATTAACCATGTATCTTAATTTTTAAAATCTTTACTCTCTTATTTTCTTTCTAGTTGTTTCCTCCTTTCAAACCATAATTCTTAACACTTTAGAACCTAATTTTTTATACAAGATGTATCCTTACAATAATGACTTTAAATTTCTCTAAAATTAAGTGTTTTTCACTGATTACCATTAAATACAGATACATTCCCATGGAAAATTCTCTTTCCACAGAAGCACTGATTGTAAACCCTGGAATAACTTCAGGCAATTTTGTTTCAGGAATGAGCAGTATTATCATTCCCACTACACAGCTGAAGTACTTAAAAAGCCTAGAAAAGGCTGGGTGCCATGGCTCGCACCTGCAATCTCAGCACTCTGGGAGGCCAAAGTGAGGGGACTACTTAAGGCCAGGAACTGAAGACCAGCCTGGGCAACATAGCAAGACCCTGTCTCTCTGAAAAATAAAGTTAGCCTGGCATGGTGGCATGTGCCTATAGTCCCAGCTACTCAAGAGGCTCAGGGGAGGGATGAGGTAGGATTACTTTGAGCCCAGGAGTCCAGGGCTGCAGTGAGCTACGATCTAACAAAGGCAACAGAGTGAGCTCTCTCTTTTAAAAAAAAGCCTACAAACATTTGGTAGACTGTCCAGGGTTACCTAGCTATGTAGTGATCAAAGAGAAGAAAGAAAAGAGATTAGGAAAAAGCCCTCCTTGTTTCTCATTACAGTTCTCTTTCTACTATAATTCAGCCAAGTTTATAAACCTCTGAGAAAAAGGAATGAGATGGTAGCTAATTCCACAGTATGCTGTGCAATTTTATGCCCAGAAATTGTTCCCAACATTGTTCCTTTGTTGCTGTTCCCCCAGGTTATAGAACGTTCTTCCATTTTTGTTAAAAGCAGCAAGAAACTCAGGAATAGACTCCATGTTGGCCTCAGCTGTCTGCCAGCAGAGAAAATGAGATTCTTGTTGGAAGTTCATGAAACTACTATATAAATGTAGCACTGGAAATTAGCTACCCTAATTTTCCATATTTGTGAGTAAATTCCTTTAATGAAACTATACCAGTTAATGCTTGAGTTCTGTAAAGTGAATCACAGTTCTACTTCTTCAATTCTGTAAAATAACATTTTAAAATTACGGTTCTCTACAGTAAAACAAACCACATAATGTCTGATAAATCTTAATAGCATAAAGGGATAACATAGGATATAACAAGGAAAATGGCTTTGCTATGGCAGTTTTTCATTTCACAACAATCAACTGGTAAGAAAAATGATATATTGATATAAATTGCTACCAGGGACTATAAATGTAGCGCCCTGTACCATTCTCATGATTTTCAAGAGTACATACCAACAGTTTTCTGCCGTACTATACTCCTCGCCTTTTCGGTTCCTGGAGAACCAGTGGTTGTTGCACTCCTCTGTCTCATTGGGGCTTGGCCAGGCTGATCACGACTCCATCCTCTAGAAAATGACTTGTCAACTGAAACTTTCTGAAATTCATGTCCAACTCCTAGAAATGTAGATTTTCAATCTCAATATACTGTTACTTGATCAATAATATCTTCAAGTTATGTGTGCTACCTTGCCTCAGAGTCTTAGGTTTGCTTACACAAATTATAAAATAGTAAGATAAAACGCTATGTACTGTAAGGCTTTTATGAGCTTCACTTTAGGTATAAATCATATCCCAAAACTGATGCAGAATTTTAAAATTACACCATTAGCAATAAGCTATTAGAAATTCTCTGCCACCCACTTGCTTTGGAATAAAAATGAAACATTCAGACAAGAAAAAAAGACAGGAAATGTGCTAAACAAAACCCATCCTGCGGTGATGGTTACTAAATCTCTAATCTGCCAATAATAGCCACTTGGGAAATATAGTCCAGGAAAAAGTAGTTGGAGCACATTAATACCCTGGACAAAAGTATGAAATGTGACTTAGATGTAAACTCTAGCTAGCAACTAATATTTAACAATGTAAAATACTGGCTGGGTGTAGTAGCTCACACCTGTAATCCCAGCACTTTGGGAGGTGGAGGTGGGCAAATTGTTTGAGCCCAGGAGTTCGAGACTAGCCTGGATAATATGGTGAAACCATGTCACTACAAGAAATACAGACAAAAAAATTTAGCTGAGCACGGTGGCATATGCCTGTAGTCCCAGCTACTTGGGAAGCTGAGGCAGGGAGATCCCTTGAGCCTGGGAGGTCGAGGCTGCAGTAAGCCATGATTGTGCTACTATACTCTAGCCTAGGCAACTGAGTGAGGCCCTGTCTTGCGGGGGGGAAAAAAAAAGGCAAAATCCTAAAAAACTGAGTTTTTAAAAAACGTATATTAATGATATTATCATTATATTAATGATATTATCATTACACTACTGCCCCACTCCCTTTTAACATTAGACAGACACGTATTTCATGTCTAGGGAATGTTTGCTTTTAGTTAAAACTAAGTAAGTGCTTTCAAAAACCATTTTTAAAATAATTATTATGTACATTTTAAATAGAGTAACATGAAACCACCTTCTCAGTTCTAAGAAAAAACTGCTTATGATAAAAAGGAATCATATTTTATACATTTTCATTTTGTTTAATTCTTAAAAATAACATATTTAAGATTCTACTTATTTCACCCTCACCCTCTCCCTGGAATGGTTTTCCCTGACTCAATTATTTAAAGAAATTTATATAAAGCATCTCTATGAACAATTCTTACCTTTCCCTTTGTGCTTTTTTTGTTTCTGTTCACTCAGCTTATCCAATGGTAAATCACTGAGATCCAAACTATATAAATTCCTAGCTAAAACTTTAGTTAATGTCTCCATAGTCAGTGACCACTCAGTGGCCAACTCTTCCCAATAGGTCAATGATGACAATACTGACAGTAAGTCATCCCAAAGTTCTCGGGAGATGTACACATTTAGGTTTGCTTTGATCCAGGCAACTATAAGGGTCTACAAAGACAAATATCAGATATAACAATAAGATGTGTTTAGTGTGTGACTTCAAAATCAGACACTCAATTCTTTAAAAAATACTTAAAAACAAGCAAAATTTAAAATCTCATGCTTTTTTTAGTAGATAATACTTGTAAAAGCAATTCATGTAATTGTCAGAATCTACTATAAATTTCAACAACTGCCAACTCCCAACATCCAGCAATCTAAACTAAAAAGGCATTTCCCTAAATCAATAATTGTCTCTTATGCTGCATTACATTAATGTTAAATAAATACTATTTAAAAAATAGTCTCCATACTTTTAAGTGTTGAAAATGTTGAGTTACTGAACTAAAAAACCAAAACTTACATTCCCAAATTAAGGATGGAAATCACTAACCACAACTTGAAAATGTTTTTTAATAATATAAAGAAACAACATAATAGAGATATATTTAACTTAATCAAATGTATTTTTGAAAATGTATATGTAAAGATTGAAATTAAATTTTAAATTAAAAGCATTCTGTAATAAATCTGATCACAGGATTAAAAAAATTCATAAAAGGACAGAAACTGATTAGCCAGTACCCCCTGAGATTTTGTGGATTTCTACTAAAGATATGTCCTCTGATTGAAGAAACAAGTCATAAAATAAAGATTCTCAAAAGCTTAATTCTACAACATTTAGAAAGGAATTCACATAAATTCATACCTGAAATGTAAAGATGAAAATGAACAGAGTTTAAGTACAGACCTGTAGTAACTAGTGACCTCCCAATTTATCTTTAATTTAATGCTCAGACTAAAAAAAAAAAAAGACTACCAAAAAAAAGACTACTTTAATACTCAGACTACAAAAAAAAGTTGTTTCACATAGCAAGATAAAATTTTATCTTCCTGTAGCTCCCACCATCAGGTTAGCTCTAACAATGGGTAAACTTGAATGAAAAAACAAAAAATGGTTAATGAAGTTAAGAGGAGTTTAGATGATACATGTAGCTGGTTTTAAAGGACTGTTCAACACCAGCATATAATTCTAGGTAAATGGCTAATATATGAAAAAAAAACTCCAACCAATTTAAATGGCTACACCCATGGCCAAGAATTAGATCTGAGACAGCTTTTACCTTTGACATTAAGAATCATGTATTTGTATTTCATGTATCATCTTAAAAAACAATATTTTGTTTTCTATTTTTCAAAGAATCCATAATACATTTCAAGTCAACACTCTATCCTCAGATTTAAAAAACAATATAGAATTTCTGTGTAATCAAACTACCACCAATTGAGAAGGGAGGAGAATAAAGTCTTATTAAAAGAAAGCATGATAAGAATCAATCTTAATTATTTATTGTTTTTTCATTATTACAGAATAACATAAAAAGACAGTTTTTCCTAGCAGTCCCAGAGATATGGAAACTCATAAAGCAGTCAGGTCATTATCCCTAAAAACTCTGCTAGGTTTTTGCAACCACACATTATGTATACCACACAAGAGATAAAATAAATATCATTAGCCTGCTTGTTCACAGATCTGATATTACCTCCACTCATACTAGGTTGTATGTAGGGCAAATAGCTTATTTAGATAAGCAACTTTTAAGTTAGCTCTACAAAAGATCCCTTAATAAATAAGAAATAATCTCTAATTTAAAACATTTTTTTCCTGGTAACAAGTTCAGGGTTCAATGAATCTCAAAAGACACACAAACAACAACAACAAAACAAAACAAAACAAAAAACCCATATCTATCCAGTTATTCATCTATTTATTTATTTTTATTGCCTGGAAAAGTGGTCCTGCAAGTCGACCTGCCAAGGTCATATTTTTTTTCCCTTGGAACTGTAGAAAAGCTTGTGATGGCATCTTCAGTACAGACTCCGTGACTCTGAGCAACACAAGCAGCATCTGTTCCCTTAAAATAAAGATTGATTAATGTTTCCTTCTTGCATATGTTTGCATTTGGTTAACAGTTAACTTTCAGATATATACTTCTTATAAAAACTCAAATATCAAACATCTTTGAAAGACAATTTCAATTTTTGGAGTTCCTTAAATATTAAAAATTAAAATTCCATTTTATATATCAACATCAATCATTTAAAATCATTTATCAGCCACAATATCCTCTCATCAAATAAAAACCTATTCAAAAGCTGAGGAATTGGAAGTGATAATGTGGAGAATGCTCCCGTCTCCCCAACCACAAATCAAGTAGCAATCTTAAGGAGCTATCTAAAGAACACTCATCTACACAATATAGTTCTACCCAGATGGAATCCAATCAAATCCATCTTTATAATATGGAGAATAACTACATATTCAGAATCATACCAATCTCAATTTCAGAAATTAGATGACATCTTAATTAATAGATCACAAAGAAGACTGGGCAACATAGCAAGACCTGTTTCTCAAAAAAAAACAACAAAAATCAGCTAGGTGTGGTGGCATATGCCTATAGTCTCTGCTACTCAGGAGGCTGAGGTGGGGGGATCACTTGAGCCTAGGAGTTTGAGTCTGCAGTGAGCTTCATAATTAATCAAGGGCCATTACTCTATTGTTTCTTTCCACTCTTTTCATTATGCCATTTTTTAATCTTTAATTTTTTGTCTGTACTGCAAGTTGAACCAATTCTATTATTATCTTTACCTTGTCTCTTTCTCTTAGATGCTTATTATTAAAACCATAAAACTACCTTATTTACACTGATATTTCAAAACTTGATTCAACCACATATAAAAAAGAGGCTAACAAGGGACTTTCAGTTGGGTATATCAGCCCAATTCTCTATCACAGCCTCCTCCCCTCTGGTTATTTTGCAAGTCCATTCCAGGCATCGTGATACGTGGAACAGTTACTGTGAGAAATGTGGAAGGGGTAGCAACAGATCCTAGATCTAGATGTCATGGTTCTTCTGAGAAGTCAGAGTAGAATCAAACAGAAAATATCACTACATTAAAAATATCCTGGACATATTAGCAAATAAATGCATGTATTTATTCACAGAATAAAAATCAAAGGTGCCACATTTGTAACCTTATGCTTCCAGCTTAGCTACACGAAATAAAAAGCTATTTGAAATCAACGACAAATGCAATAAAGCATAGATTTTCCAAATAAATCTTATTTGTTGTCAAACCATAACTCACCCATAAATCATACAATCTTTTCACTTTGTAATACGATAAAAATGATTTTAATTAATAAAGTTTTACAAATTCTGGCCAAGTGTGGTAGCTCACACCTGTAATCCCAGCACTTTAGGAGCTCAAGGCAGGTAGATCACTTCAGCTCAGGAGCTCAAGAACAGCCTGGGCAACATAGCGAAACCGTCTCTCTCAATATAAAAATTCAATGTAAAATATATGAAAAACCTCCCAAAATGCTATTACTTCAAGGGAAGTTAAAAAATTAACAAAAATTCTAAAATTGTTTTCTATATAGCAAGGTAGTCACTATAATCTGGCTCATCAATGATTCAAAGTATACAGAAAGAAAAAAAAGGACTAACAAAAGAATTGTCCAATGTAGTATAGTTACTGGCTAATAATAACTTGGGCTCTGAAGTCAGAAAAACCATAGTTCAAATCTCTGTTCACTGCTCAATAGCTGTGTGAACAAGGACAAGTTACTTAACTTCCTAGTATTATCTGTATCATAGGGTGCTGTAAGAATTAAGTAAGAAAATATGTGTAAAGCGCTTAGAAAGCTATGTGGCACGAAGAATTGTCCCAAATGTGTTAACAATAATAACTACTTCTACATGCAATTCTATTAATACTGTTAGTAAAGAATCTTTTCAAAATATAAAGCCATTTTATACATAAATTAGGCATATGCTTTGAATAATCAGTCTTATTTCTTAAAAAATTAGGAATACTTACTCAAAGCACATGCCTAATTTATGTTTTGTCACTGTAGAGGAAAATGAAATATATATAAGAATGTTCATTGTCCTCTCTTTGCCCCAAAACAGAGAGAAATAACTACATGTCCATCAGTAGAAGACTGGTTAAGAAAATTATGGCGCATATATATGGTATAATACTATATAACTGTGTGTGTGGTTTGATGAGCTAGATATTCACCAAAGCACAAACATCACTAACATCTCTAGAGAGTGAACCTCTGAGCTTTTTTCTTATTTTAAACTTTTCTTTGTTTGAATTTTATGATAAACATTTCATTTTTACAAAAACTGCAGAACTGCATATCCCCAAAAAGTCTATTTTTCCAATCAATTAGAAAAGTATTTATAGAGCACCAATGATATATAATGTACTATACTCAGAAATGTAGGAAATATAAAAATAAGACAACCTGTAAATACCTTCTAGGGGTTCTCGGTTCTATGGTGATAAACAGACATTTACACAAGTATTTTAGGGATCAAGAAAGTTTTCATAAGAACTATACAGAAGTACAAATATAAAATGGAAACAAGAGAAGAAAAAAATTTAAGTAAGGATATATAGAAACAGGAAGGTGAATCTAAGGCACAGTTTAGGAAAAATAGCAGAATTAGGCATTCTAAAGGAAAGTTCAGAAGGTGCCCAGGGAAGAGAAACTTGATAAAGCTGGAAAGCAGGATCTTATCCTGAAAGTTGGAGGTTAGACTTCAGACAGGAAAAGTAGGCAGGGCCTGACGGTATACAGCTCTGAATGCCAGATGAAGGATTCAGGCATTCAGTCAATCATCAACTTATTCATTAACTCATTCACATACAAGTAAACTTCATTTACTCATACACGTTTGTATGCATGTATTCATTCCTTAGGGGTTGAGGAGGATGAGGCCATTACATGCTCACTTCAGGAAGATAGTCCAAGGGGTCTTATGGAAGTCTGAACAAAGATGTTTCAGATAAGGTGAAAGGAACTATTGTCACTATGATTAATTTTATATTTATTCAATAATAGGAGCCCTTATAATATTCTAAACAAGCCCTCTTCACAGACACTATTTCTCTAAAAATTACTATACCTGTGTACACAATAAAAAACACATAGACACAAAGGATAAAAATTTTTTTTACCAAGTCTTTTTGTCCATTGATACTTGTACAACCATGTACCGATAAATGTTAAGAATGCGTTTACACATATCTGTGTGCTCATCCAGAAGATTTTTAATTTCATTTGCAGGTTCAAGAAGAAATATATTTGATGAGTTTATAATAAACACCTAAGACAAAAGAAATCATTAGCTATTCACAAAGGAATTTCAATGGCAAATTTCTTATTCAAAGAGAAACAGACACTGATCACACTGTGGGTTAATTCTACCACAAGCTTAATAACTGAAACGTAAACTCATTAAACCTATCTATTTTTATGTTTATCTAGACAAATATCAAGTTAACAGTAGGTACCCAAAGAAAATAAACCAAGTGCAAACAACAGTATTTTTTTTTTTTTTTTTTGAGACAGTCTTGTTTAGTCACCCAGGCTGGAATGCAGGGGTATGATTTGGGCTCTCTGTAACCTCTGCCTCCTGGGTTCAACAGATCCTCTTGCCTTAGCCTCCCAAGTAGCTGGGATTACAGGCATGTGTGCCACCATGCCAGCCTAATTTTTGTATTTTTACTAGAGGTAGGGTTTTGCTATATTGGCCAGGCTGGTCTCAAACTCATGGCCTCAAGTGATCCGCCCACATTGGCTTCCCAAGTTGCTGAGATTACAGGCAAGAGCCACTGCACCTGGCCTAAAAAACAGTACTTCTAAACTGAGAAGCTTTAATATAATAGCTCTATTGCTGTAATAAATTGAAAAAAAAAATGAATAAATACACATAGTTTAGGATAAAAGATGACATCTAAATCAGGAAGAATCTTCTGAATGAGTTGTTCAAAACACTGTATCTTCTTTTTCTTATTTATTTTTATGTTTGTATATCTGTTTTGGTGATAAAAGATTCCATTAGAAAAATATATTACTATATCTCATCAAAATATTAAAATAGAAAAAAGTATTATTATCACTATGTATGCAGAAAAAGCATTCAACACTTATGACTGAAAACAATTTTTAGTAAACTAAGAAAAAAGCAAACATTCATTAATATAAAAAAGAGCATTTATAAAAAAAGTATAAAAAATGTATATACATAGTACCAGAACTTGAGAAATACCACAAAAAGCCAAGAATAAGACAAGGGCGCTCACTCTCATCCCATTGATCTGAGGGGCCCAGTAAGCATAAAAGGAAGAGTGGGTGGTAGATAATAAATATCAGCAAACTGAAAAGGAAAAGACAAATGGAGCTATGTTCCTGTCTGGGAGAATAGTATTTCGGAAAAAGAGGAAAATCAAGTTCAAAGGACCTGATGTGAGAGCCTGCCTAACATTCTTGAGGAAAAGCAAGGAGTATAGAGTGAAGTAAACCAGGGGAAAAGCAGTGGAAGATGATGCTGAAAAACAGCCACAGTATGTGGACCAAAGCTTCTCACACTACCTGTAGCAAAAGAACAGGTCTCCCCCAGCCCCAATCTTTTGCAGATCAAATCCTAACTTAAAATACAATTAAGAATGAACAGAGATTGGGAGAGAGATCGTCACGGCTGATGAGAGGCAGAACTAAATTGCAGCTCCGACTTTGACAGACAGAGCAGCATAAGTAGGCTCACATCATGAATTTTACCTCCAGAACAACTTCAAGAACAAATCAGGAATCCCAAAAGGATCCACAGACCCTCTGAAGGAAGCGGACTGCTCCTGCTGGACCCGGAAGACACTCCAAATGCTGTGAGTTCCCAAATTGCAGAAGTGGGAAAGGGAGATCCTCCTCTCCCAAAAACATACACCCACTGGGGAAACTGAATGTCGAGTTTGTGGGAGAAATTTCTGACCTTATCTGGAGCGGAGTAAATTTAGAGAGCTGAGGGAAATACAGGGGTAGAGAAAGCAGTGGGAAAGGCCCTGGGACCTCGCTGGGTCCCCAGGCAGGCCATTCCTGCCTGGCACCACAGGGATCCTTTGGGATGGCAGCCAGAGGTGCGTGGAAAATGCCACAAGGAGAAGGAAGTCTCCAGCTGAACTCTGTAACAATTTGAACCAGGCAAGAAGCCTCCTGGCCAGAACTCAAAGGAGGGTGTGAATCTGGTGTGCAGACTCCACAGGCAAGGGAAGAACCAAAGCCCTTTTCTTTCACAGCTGGGAGGAGGGTAGCCCAGGACAAGTTCTCAAGCCCTGCTCGCCCACTGTCTGGAAACAGACTTAGTGTTGTTAAGGTGGCATGGTGGGAGAAAGACAGGCCCTTCAGATTGCTTGGGAGCTGGGTAAGGCCTGTGACTGCCGACTTTCCCTGACTTCCCTGACAACCTGCATAACTCAGCAGAGGCGGCCATAATCCTCGTAGGTACACAACTCCATTGACCTGGGAACTTCACTCCCATCCCTCACAGCAGCTGTAGCAAGACCCACCCAAGGAGAGTCTGAGCTCAGACACACCTAGCCCTGCCCCCACCTGATGGGCCTTCCCTAACCACCTTGTTAAACGAAGACAAAGGGCATATGCTCTAGGAAGATCTGGGGCCCCACCCACCATCAGTTTCTTTCCATACTACTATAGCTCATGCTTTCTGGAATGTGCCACCTCCCAGCAAGAGGCCAACCAGCACAAAAACAATTAAACCACCAAAGCTAAGAACTCTCACAGAGTCCATTTCACCTGCTGCCACCTCCACTAGAACAGCTGCTGGTATCCACAGCTGAGAGAACCACAGACAGTTCACATCACACGACTCTGCGCAGACAAACTCTGGAGCTGGGTAGACTGGCTGGGTGGCTAGACACAGAAGAGAGACAACTATCACTGCAGTTCAGCTCACAGGAAGCCACATCCATAGGAAAAGGGGGGGAGTACTACATCAAAAGAACACCCTATGGGACAAAAGAATCTGAGCAACAGCCTTCAGCCTTAGACTTTCCCTCTGACAGAGCCTACCCAAATGAGAAGGAACCAGAAAACTAACTTTGGTAATATGACAAAACAAGGCTCTTTAACACCACCAAAAAATTACACTAGTTCCTCAGCAATGGATCCAAACCAATAAATCCCTGATTTACCTGAAAAAGAATTCAGGAGGTTAGTTATTAAGCTAATCAGGGATGCACCAGAGAAAGGCAAAGCCCAATGCAAGGAAATCCAAAAAACGATACACGAAGTGAAGGGAAAAATATTCAAGGAAATAAATAACTTAAAGAAAAAGCAATAAAAAATTCAGGAAACACTGGATACACTTACAGAAATGCAAAATGCTCTGGAAAGTCTCAGCAATAAAACTGAACAAGTAGAAGAAAGAAATTCAGAGCTTGAAGACAAGGTCTTCAAATTAACCCAACACAACAAAGACAAAGAAAAAAGATAAGAAAATATGAACAAAGCCTCCAAGAAGTCTGGGATTATGTTAAACAAACAAATCTAAGAATAATTGGTGTTCCTGAGGAAGAAGAGAAATCTAAAAGTTTGGAAAACATATTGGGGGGAATAATCAAGGAAAGCTTCCCTGGCCTTGCTAGAGACGCACACATCCAAATACAAGAAGTACAAAGAACACCCGGGAAATTCATTGCAAAAAGATCATCGCCTAGGCACACTGTCATCACATTATCTAAAGTTAAGATGAAGGAAGGAATCTTAAGAGCTGTGAGACAAAAGTATCAGGTAACCTACAAAGGAAAACCTGTCAGATTAACAGAGATTGAATCAGCAGAAACCTTACAGGGTAGAAGGGATTGGAGCCTTATCTTCAGCCTCCTCAAACAAAACAATTATCAGCCAAGAATTTTGTATCCAGCAAAACTAAGCATCATATATGAAGGAAAGATACAGTCTTTTTCAGATAAACAAATGCTGAGAGAATTTGCCAATACCAAGCCACCACTAAAATAATGGATAAAAGGTGCTTTAAATCTTGAAACAATCCTAGAAACATATCAAAACAGAACATTTTTAAAGCATAAATCACACAGGACCTATAAAACAAAAATACAATTTAAAAAGCAAAAGCAAAAACCAAAAAAACCAAAGTACACAGACAACAAATGTACAATGAATGGAATGGTACCTCACACCTTGATACTAACATTGAATGTAAACGGTCTAAATGCTCCACTTAAAAGATAGAGAACTGTAGAATGGATAAGAACTCACCAACCAACTATCTGCTGCTTTCAGGAGACTCACCAAACACAGAAGGACTGACATAAGTAAAGAGGTGGAAAAACGCATTTCACGCAAATGAACTCCAAAAGCAAGCAGGGGTAGCTATTCTTATACCAGACAAAACAAACTTCAAAGCAACAGCAGTTAAAAGAGACAAAGATGGACATTATATAATGGTAAAAGGCCTTGTCCAACAGGAAAATATCACAATCCCAAACATATATGCACCTAACACTGGAGCTCCCAAATTTATAAAACAACTATTAATAGACCTAAGAAATGAGATAGACAGCATCACAATAATAGTGGGGGACTTCAATACTCCACTGACAACACTAGACAGGTCATCAAGACAGACAGACAACAAAGAAATAATAGATTTAAACTATACCTTGGAACAAATGGACTTAACAGATATATACAGAACATTTCATCCAACAACCGCAGAATACACATTCTATTCAACAGCGCATGGAACCTCCTGCAATATAGGCCATATGATAAATCACAAAATGAGCATCAATAAATTTTAAAAATTTAAAATTCTATCAAAGCACTCTCTCAGACCACAATGGAATAAAACAAAATCAACTCCAAAAGGAACCTTCAAAACCATGCAAATACATGGAAATTAAATAACCTGCTCCTGAATGAGCAGTGTGTCAAAAACAAAATCCAGATGGAAATTTAAAAGTTCTTCTGGCCGGGTGCAGTGGCTCATGCCTGTAATCCCAGCACTCTGGTAGGCTGAGGCGGGTGGATCACCTGAGGGTGGGAGTTCAAGACCAGCTTGACCAACATGGAGAAACCCTGTCTCTACTAAAAATACAAAATTAGCCAGGCATGGTGGTGCATGCCTGTAATCCCAGCTACCCAGGAGGCTGAGGCAGGAGAATTGCTTGAACCCGGAAGGTGGAGGTTGCGGTGAGCTGAGATTGCACCATTGCACTCCAGCCTGGACAACAAGAGTGAAACTCTGTCTCAAAAACAAACAAGCAATCAAACAGAAAAATTATCTGAACTGAACGACAATAATGACACAATCTATCAAAACCTCTGTGATACAGCAAAGGTGGTGCTAAGAGGAAAGTTCATAGCCCTAAAAACCTACATCAAAAAAGACTGAAAGAGAACAAACTGACAGTCTAAGGTCACACCTCAAGGAACTAGAGAAACAAGAACAAACCAAACCCAAACCCAGCAGAAGAAAGGAAATAACCAAGATCAGAGCAGTACTAAATGAAAATAAACGAAATACAAAAAGATAAATGAGACAAAAAACTGGTTCTTTGAAAAGATAAATAAAATTGATAGACCATTAGAAAGAGTAACCAAGAAAAGAAGAGAAAATCCAAATAAGCTCATTAAGAAACAAAACAGGAGATACACCAACAGCAACCAAGCAGAGAATCAAATCAAGAACTTAACCCCTTTTATTATAGCTGCAAAATAAAATAATAATAATAATAATAATAATAATACTTAGGAATATATCTAACCAAGGAGGCGAAAGATCTCTACAAGGAAAACTACAAACACCACTGAAAGAAATCACAAATGACACAAACAAATGGAAACACATCCTATGCTCATGGATGGGTAAAATCAGTATTGTGAAAATCACCATACTGCCAAAAGCGATCTACAAATTCAACGCAATCTCTACCAAAATGCCACCGTAATCCTTCACAGAATTAGAAAAAACAATTCTAAAATTCATATGGAACCAAAAAAGGGCCCACATAGCCAAAGCAAGACTAAGCAAAAAGAACAAATCTGGAGGTATCACACTACCTGATTTCAAACTATACTGTTAAGGCCATGGTCACCAAAACAGCATGGTACTGGTATAAAAATAGGCACAGAGACCAGTGGAACAGAATAGAGAACCCATAAATAAACCCAAATACTTACAGCCAACTGATCTTTGACAAAGCAAACAAAAACATAAAGTGGGGAAATGACACCCTTTTCAATAAATGGTGCTGGAATAATAGGTTAGCCACGTGTAGCAGAACGAAACTGGATCCTCATCTCTCATCTTACACAAAAATCAACTGAAGATGGATTAAGGACTTAAATCTAAGACCTGAAACTATAAAAATTCTAGAAGATAACATTGGAAAAACCCCTCTAGACATTGGCTTAGGCAAGGATTTCATGACCAAGAACCCCAAAGCAGTATAAAAACAAAGAAAACAGCTGGGACTTAATTAAACTAAAGAGCTTTTATACAGCAAAAGGAACAGTCAGCAGAGTAAAGAGAAAACCCACAGAGTAGGGGGAAATCTTCACAATCTAGACATCTGACAAAGGACTAATATCCAAAATCTACAATGAATTCAAACAAATCAGTAAGGAAAAAAAAAAGATCCCATCAAAAAGTGGGCTAAGGACATGAATAGACAATTCTCAAAAGAAGATAGACAAATGGCCAACAAACATATGAAAAAATGCTCAAAATCAAAACCACAATGCAATACCACCTTACTCCTGCAAGAATGGCCATAATAAAAAAAAAAAATCAAAAAACAGTAGATGTTGGCATGGATGTGGTGATCAGGGAACACTTTTACATTGTTGGTGGGAATGTAAACTAGTACAGCCACTATGGAAAACAGTGTGGAGATTCCTTAAAGAACTAAAAGTAGAACTACCATTTTGATCCAGCAATCCCACTACTGGGTATCTACCCAGAGGAAAACAAGTCATTATATGAAAACAAGTTTATAGCAGCACACAAGTTTATAGCACACAAACTTAAACTTGTGATGCACACAACAAGTTTATAGCATGCAAGTTTATAGCAGCACAACTCACAACTGCAATTGTGGAACCAACCCAAATGCCCATCAATCAATGAGTGGATAAACTGTGGTACATAGAGACAATGGAATACTGCCTCAGCCGTGAAAAGGAATGAATTAATGGCATTTGCAGCAACCTGGATGAGATTAGAGACTATTATTCTAAGTGAAGCAACTCAGGAATAGAAAACCAAACATCGTATGTTCTCACTGATATGTGGGAACTAAGCTATGAGGACACAAAGGCATAAGAATGATACAATGGACTTTGGGGACTTGTAGGAAGGGTGGGAGGGGGTAAGGGATAAAAGACTGCAAATAGGGTGCAGTGTATGCTGCTCGGGTGATAGGTGCACCAAAATCTCCTATCACCACTAAAGAACTTTCTCATGTAACCAAATACCACTGGTACCCCAATAACCTATGGAAGAATAAAAAATAAAAATAAAGACTATCAACTGGGGGAAAAATGAATAGACAAAAGGAAATGAAAAAAGAGTAAGACAAAATTCAAATGCAAACTTTTTAACAGAATCAAGAGATATTAAATTATTTCATTTCTAAACTTTTATTCTCAGTTTTGCAGTTATGCTGTGGGCCAGTCCTTGTCTATGGACCACACTCTAAGGAGCAATGATATAAAGCCTTATAGACCATTATAAAGACTTTTGCATTGCTGCCTAGCGATAATGGAAAGCCACTAGAGGGTTCTGAGCAGAAAAATGACATAATCTGACTTACATTTTACAGGATCCCTCTGGTCAGACCAGAGTGACAGGTGCGCAGGGCAGAAGCAGGGAGACTAATTAGAAACTTACCACAATATTACAGATGAAAGATTGTAGACACTTAGACAAAAGACGTAGTGTGTGTGCTGAGCAGTAGTAAGATTCCATACACATTATGAAGGGAGAGCAGACAGGATTTGTCGTTAAATTAGACAAACATTAAGGTAAATGGAAAACAGAGTTGCCAATAAATGAAACAAGGAAGACTGCAGGAAAAGCACTCAAATTTGAGATATTTATTAGATAGCCAAGTGAAAATGACAACTTGATATCTGAATATTTTAGTTAAGGATTCACAGAGTTCAGATGAGGGATCCTAAACTACTTATAAAAATCTGAAGCTGTAGCACATAGATGATATTTAAAGCCATCTATATGGATGAGACAAGAGAATAAGAGATCCAAGAACTGATTCCTGGGCACTTCAACATGAAAAGGTCAGGGCTTTACAGAAAAATCAGTGAAAGAATCTGCTTTAAGAAGTGGACAATGAAGTGAGAAGAAACAGGAAGATATGCTATTCTGGAGGCCAGGCAAAGAAGCATTTCAATGGGGAGGGAATGATCTACCCTGTAAATGCTTCTAATCAAGCAGGATTAGGACTAAAAAAATGTACATCTGATTTAACAATGTAGAGGTCACATGTGGCCTTGACAAGGACAGTTTGATTTAAAAAGTGAATGACTGGCCAGGCACAGTGGCTCATGCCTGTAATCCCAACACTTTGGGAGGCTGAGGCAGGCAGATCACTTGAGGTCAGGAGTTTAAGACCAGCCTGGCCAACACGGCAAAAACCCATCTCTACAAAAATACAAAAATTAGCCAGGCATGGTGGCGCATGCCTGTAATCCCAGCTACTCAAGAGGTTGAGGCAGGAGATTTGCTTGAACCTGGGAGGCAGAGGTTGCAGTGAGCCGAGATTGCGCCACTGCACTCTAGCCTGGGTGACAAGAATGAGGCTCCATCTCAAAAAAAAAAAAAGTGAATGAATATAATGAACTCCTACAAACCATTAAGACCAACATCCAAAATAATGGAAAAGCATATGAATTCATAGATAAGAAAAGATGCTCAAATTCAGTACTGATGAAGGAAAAGCAAATTAAAATGGAAAAACATAAACCTTTTTTTAAAATGAGTCAATGTTTCACATGTAAAGGACTAGCAAAAAATTAAAATCTGACAGTGCAAGTAATAGGGAGAACATAAGGAAATGAGAACTCCCAAACACAACTAGAGGGAATGTAAATTATTCTGACAAAGTGGAGAACAATTGGGCGATAATATTAAAGTTATTAATGTACACATTCTACAATTACCAAAAGTGGTAATTCCACTTTTGGTATATACCCTAGGGAAATTTTCCCAGATGCATATAAAAATACATGTATAAGAATGTTCACAGCGGAGCGCGGTGGCTCACGCCTATAATCGCAGCACTTTGGGAGGCCAAGGTGGGTGGATTACCTGAGGTCAGGAGTTTGAGACCAGACTGGCCAATATGATGAAACCCCATCTCTACCAAAAATACAAAAAAATTAGCCGGGCATGGTGGTGGGCACCTGTAATCCCAGCTTCTTGGGAGGCTGAGGCAGGAGAATTGCTTGAACCCAGGAGGCAGAGGTTGCAGTGAGCCAAGATCGTGCCATTGCACTCCAATCTGGACAACAACAGTGAAACTCCATCTCAAAAAAAAAGAATATTCATAGCCAGGTGCAGTGGCTCACACCTATAATCCCAGCACTTTGAGAGGCTGAGGTGGGTGGATCACCTGAGGTCAGGAGGTTCAACACCAGGCTGGCCAACATGGTAAAACCTCATCTCCACTAAAAATACAAAAATTAGCCAAGCACAGTGGCACGCGCCTTTAATCCCAGCTGCTTGGGAGGCTGAGGCAGGAGAATCATTTGAACCCAGGAGGCAGAGGTTGCAGTGGGCCGAGATCGCATCATTGCACTCTAGCCTGGGCAACAAGAGTGAAAACTACATCTCAAAAAAAAAAAAAGTTCACTGTAGTACTATTTGGAATAGTGAAAAACTGGAAACAAAAGACCATTAACAGAAAAATGAATAAGTAAAATGTGAAATAAACTACAATATCACAAAATAGTTAAAATGAATTACGGCTGCATAGTAACAACAAATCTCATAAACAGAATGGCTAATAAAAAAATCAGTTGCAGATGACAGTATGCCATGACATAATTTATATAACATTTAAAATTCTCTAGAATAATATGTAATGTTTATTAATACATATATATTAAGTGATGAAAGGAAAAAATAAAAATAATATGGCATAATGATAAATGTAGGTGGTGAATTTATTATATTGTGAAAAGTATACTATATACTGAAATACTGAACTGAAATATTTAATGATTATTTTATTTTTAAAAATAGCCATAAAGTGATCCACCTGCAAAACTGCCTGGGTACCAGCTCGAATGTTTTGTTCTGTGGCTTCTTCAGAGGCGTTATGAAGAGCACCTTGGTAGGAGCCATTTTTTGCCCAACTGGAATTTCGAACAAGATCAGCAGTATTGGTCCCATTTTCCTGAAGCAAAATAACAAGTTTTTAATATTTCATTAATAAGAATGCTGCAACTAGTCAGTTAAGTTGAAAAGGTAAATGAAATTATTAGGTCCCAGTGCTAAACAGGTTTCTTTCTCTCAAAATAGATGATGTCTTATCCAATTGCAAAAACAATGTATATTCACTGTAAAAAAGCATTCTCAATGACAAAAATATAAAGTAAAACAACAACAACAACAACAACAAAACCATAATGAGCAGTCAGAGATTGTATCATTCCAGAGAGTATTCTCCTACAGGTCTAATGTATAAACCTCCCTTTCATACTCTCACACATTCAAGAATGGGATTATATTACCTACAGCTTTGTAAAAAGATGAATTCTGTTCTAAATTAAATGTCAGAATCCAAATAAATGACAAAGAAAATGGCTTATGTTTATCCTACTTAGGAGTACTAAAATTCTTATTATTCAAAGAATATTGAAACTTCAAATCACTGAGATGACAGCTTTCTGCTTGCATTTTAGCAGTAACAAGTCTTAGAGACAAGGGAGTTCCCTCAGTTAAAAAGCACAAACAGAAATGCTACTCTAGTTCTCTTTTTAAAGTGTCCCTCCAGTTTTTCCCTTCTTGTCACTTACCAATATCTTTAACTAGTTAAGGTTTACAAAAATATTTTTTATAGGGTTTGTAATATGCAAGAGGTTTAGTCCAATACAAACAGCTCTGCCATTACCAGAAACAGTACTGGAACCCTGCCCTGAGTAGCCAATACAACATGCCATGGTCTAGTCTAGCCTTTCTCTTAAGCTCCATGTCCCTGTAATCAAATGTCTTCTGAAGAGCACTTCCTGAATGACCCACAAGCATCTCAAACTTAAGATATTTAAAAATAAGTTTATTAATCAGATTCTCCCCATTCCTGACAACCCAATCCCTCTAGCTGCCTTAGCCATCACCAAACTTGAGCTGTTTAAAATTCCCATCCATGTGTGAATAGCAACAACTCCGGGTGCAAAAGAAAGAAACTTGCGACACCTCCCCATTCCTCAAAGACACTAATGTATCTGTCCTCTCCCTTATACTTCCACTGCAACTACTACTGTCCTAGATCAGGTACTTATCAACTCACTTTCGAACTTTGCTAATCCTTCCTAATTGGTCGCCTGGCCTACAGACTGACCTACAATCTATCCTCCATTCTGGGCCTGGTATGACCTTCTGAAGTATGTAACTATTCATGCTACTCTTTTACTCAAAACGCTTCAAAGGCTTTCCAGTTTCTAGAATGTAATTAAAATCCACTAACATGGCATACAAGTTACTGAACAGAATCTAATCCTGTCTATCTCATATTTCCTGCTGTTCTGTCTCATCTACTCTACGCTGCAGCCAAATAGAAATATTTTCAAGGTTTTTCATACATTTTGTAGATGCTATTCACACTGTGTGTCATCTTTCCCATTTGCCTACCTGCTCTTTTATCTTATACTACCTCTTCCATAAAGCATTCCCTGATTTCCCCAAGCAGAGTTAGGTATTCTCTTTTTCATGCTCTAGGATCATAACAGTAACACTGTCTTATAATACTTACTTTGTATGTTTGTCTTCCGGCTAAACCAGAAGTTATGTGAAGGTAGAAATAATGTCTGCTCATGTTTCTACCTCCAACACTTGTTCTCAATATGGGCAACCAAAAGCTTTGTATGGTAGTTTGAAATTTGTGAGTGTTTTCTTGTCACAAGAAGTAAAAGATACCACTGGAATTTAATGAAATAGGACAGAGAATGCAAAGCATCCTACACAGCACATGACAGTCCTACACACACACAAAAAGAAACTGTCTTATATTCTGTATGTCTTTCAAATGTCTCACAGATACTATGAGAATTTTAAAAGTCTATTTAGGTCAGTGCTGTGGCTCCCACCTGTCATCCCCAGCACTTTGGGAGGCTGAGGTGGGCAGGTCACTTAAGCTCAGGAGTTCAAGACCAGCTCGGAAACATGGTGAAACCCTGTCTCTACTAAAAATACAAAAAAATTAGCCAGGCGTGGTGGCGAATGCCTGTAGTCCCAGCTACTCGGGTGGCTGAGGTTGATGATGGCTTGAGCCTGGAAGGTGGAGGTTACAGTGAGCTGAGATCACACCACTGCATTCCAGCCAGGGCGACAGAGGAAAACCTTGTTTCAAAATAATAACAACAATAAAAAATAAAATTAAAAATTCATTTACAATTATCTGAATTTATAACATAATTCCACTTTATAACTGTAACACCAAAAATTTAAATGACTCCTTTATATATTCAGTGTATCAGAAATGTAAACCAATACATTATACCTTTTGGGTTTGGTCCACATCATTTGCAAGAGTTGCTACCACTTTGAAAAACTACATCTCTAATGGCAGTCAGTGCTGGTCACAGTACTTGAGTAACAAATAGAACAAACCTACACAGCACACCTAACACCACCAATCTACCCTTTCCTCTCTTTCATTCCTTCCATTGTTTGTTTTTCAATTATACATGTAGATAGCTTATATTATCCATCATTCTTATTTAAGAATAGTAAATGATGTGGGGGTAGGCTCATTATATATGGCACATCATGACTAAAAAGGTCAGGGAAGGCAAATTCTTTTTAAACTCATAGGTTTATTTTCCAGCATAAAAATATCAATAAATTTGATATTTTTCATTGCTGTGTAAGAATTAGGACTGTAGATATTATTTCATAATTTATATGGTTAATTTTATTTACTTCAATTACATTTCTCAGTTACATTTTTCCCTTTCTTAGAAGGAGGGAGGGTGCTCTACGTATGTGTGTATATATACATATACACATTTATACACACACAAATGCTCAGGCTCATCAAATCCCTACAGAATTGGCCTATTCATTCATACATTAGTATCCTGACTAAATTCCACTGATGAGGTTAGATTAACCACTGAAGTGAATAAACATTACTCAATCGTTCCTATCTAGATTTAGCAAGATATGTATCAATTGCAGACAACTTTATGGTGAAAGGCAAATCAGACAAAACAGATAAATCGCTTTCAATAAACTTTCTGCACTCCTAACTCCATCTTAGCATCTGCTGTTGGAGAGCCTGACCTGTGACAAAGGTTGAACAACCAAAGGAAAAAATGGAACCAGGGACCCAAATGCCACCTCTACTACTCTCTCTTTCCTCATCGTTTCCCCGCTGTGAGTAAACTCTAGTCTTTCTTATCACAAAAGAACTTATTTTACCAAGTCAAGAAGTTTCACATTCTGAAATCAGCTCTAGTGCAAAAGATTCCAAGGAGGGAGCACAAACATTATGGCTTGTGCTGGGTAGCCACTCCTAAACAGTTACTCCTTCCAGGGAAGGAGGAATTGTGGTTTGGTAATAACCCCCCCAAAAGTATGTATTTTAAAATCCATTTTGATGTAGTATCACAGTTTGAAATATTATACCTTTATAATAGTATATAATTTTTATCTAGACAATGGCTTAAAGAATCAGTATACAACCTCAATATTAATTTTTAAAAGTTGTGGTATCACAGGGCTTTCCCTCCACAGTACTGAGATGACTACTGTTATATTACCTAAATTGTTACAAAATATATGGAAAGATATATTTATCTTCCCATTTAATAAGTATATTTGTGGTAACCCATTATTATGTTTCTGCAAAAGTCTTAATCTATTAGACTAACACTAAAATATATAAATCTTATAACTTTACCTCTTCTCTTTTTTCTCCTTCTTCCATTGAAGTATCATGGTCTGTGACATTTTCAATGCAAGGGAGGTCTGAAGAAGTGATCACAATTTCTTCAGGCTCTTGCATGAACAAAGGTTTTTCCTCTTGTTGGATCCATTCTTGATATACTTTTACCACTTTTCTCATGGCTGCTGCTTCACAAATTGGTAATAAAAATGCCTAGGGAAAAAAAGGAGAATCAAGATAATGATACTTTTTCCTTTGCCACAAACCACTAAAGGAGCAATGTTTTTGACATCACATCACGGATTCTTGGAAACTGCAACTTTAAGCAAAACGATGACATATAACAAAACTTATTTTAATGTCATTAAGAGTTAAGTTCCTATGGGATATTTCTAGTAAAAAAAAAAAAATCACCAAACTTCTAAATAGAGACCAAAACACTTACAATATTAAACACTGAAATAAATGTGAGCTATATGTACATTTAAGAAAGATTAATAAAAGTAAGACAATTAATTACCCAAATATTCTAATTCGGGGTCACTGGTGGCCAGTGTATCCCAGCAGCTCAGGGCCAAGACAGGAACCCAGCCCTGGACAGGATGCCATTCCATTGTGGGGTGCAATCACATACACCCCAACACTCACCCAGACTGAGACCATTTAGACACACCAATTCACCTAATGCGCACAGCTTTGGGATATGGGAGGAAACTGTAGTACCTAGAGAAAACCCACACAGACATGGAGAGAACATGCAAACTCCACACAGACAGTGGCCCCTGCTGGGAATCTTTTTTTTTTGCCATCAACATTATAGTTAAACAATGTTTCTAAAAGACCTGCTGTACATGTATTTCTATCTTATTATAAAATGTGAGATAAAAAACAACTTTTAAAAGTTAACCAATTCATTGTCATAAAAAGCCTGTTGTCTCCAAATTATTTGCACACTGATATAGGAATGTTTGTGGTAGACAGGAACTGACTTCAAGTAGAAGTAGTAAAGATTAGTTGAAATTGTATTACTCAGAATGGTGATATTCCTTGCTTCCTGAAATAATTGAGCTCTTACAAAGGTCAATGTAAATACAACTTTTCATAAGTTGCACTTTTTTGCAACTTACATTATTGTGGTTTTTAAATTTTTTTATTATTTTAGGGACAGGATCTCGCTACATTGCCCAGGCTAGACTGAACTCCTGGCCTCAAGCGATTCTCCTGTCTCTGTCTCCTGAGTAGCTTGAACTATAGGCACACACCACCACACCCAGTCATCATTGTCTTTTTGAGAACTATTACTTTTAAAATAGATTTTGATTTTAAAATAAAAATTAAATTTGCCTCCAAAATTTAATAAAAAATCATATGTAATAAGGTACCTCACCTTTTCCAAGCATACAAAGAAAAAAGTTAAGGCTTGTATATTTCATTTTACATATAATCAAGTTCTATAGTCTAACAATAAGGCAAAATTTAAAAGAAAAATCTCATAGTTATTCTTTTCTTCTGGTATTTTCTGGGATCTTAAAAAAATATAAATATTTTCCTCATCACAAATACACATTTTCATAGAAAAAGATTTACACAATCCAGACATGGAAAAGTAAAACAGCAAAAATACTCTTAATCTCATCACCCAAAGTCTTTTCCTTGTGTGTGTTTGTGTTTATGGGTTAATATTTTTACTTTACTTTTTAGGTGCAAATAGAATTAAATTGCTGCTGGGTGCGGTGGCTCACGCCTGTAATCCCAGCACTTTGGGAGGCCAAGGCAGGCGGATCACCTGAGGGCGGGAGTTCAAGACCAGCCTGACCAACATGGAGAAACCCTGTCTCTACTAAAAATACAAAATTAGCCAGGCACGGTGGCACATGCCTGTAATACCAAATACTCAGGAGGCTGAGGCAGGGGAATCACTTGAACCTGAGAGGCAGAGGTTGCAGTGAACTGAGGTCACACCACTGCACTCCAGCCTGGGCAACAAGAACGAGACTCCATCTCAAAAAAAAAAAAAAAAAAAAAAAAAGAATTAAATTTCTTTTACTTTTATTATTCTTTTATGACACTACCTGCTAATATCAACCTTAAAAATCACAAAACCCTTACCTAAAACCTGCCACTTTCTATTCTAGAGATATCAGTAGGTGTATTAAATAATAACCATGTGGTCAAATGAACTTATTTTATCTGAATGAAACCAGCAAAAAAGCTCCCAAGATGATGAAAAGTTAACGTGCAATATCAACAGAATATTTATTGTTATTTGTTAATCCTTTTGTTTATTTGCTATTATTAATTCCTTAGTAAACTACTTTATTTGTTACTTTCTTTAATCAACTCATTCCTAAATTATCACTCTCATATTCTAGCAGCTTAATGGTCAAATGGTAAGATTTTGATCATCACTGCCTGCTTTAAGAATATTTATTTTACAGTTGTAGCAACAGCTCGGCCTCCCTTAAAAACATTCAAAATAAAATTTAAAACATTAAAATAGTTAAAATGATCCCAAAGAAATTCTAAGATACAGAAAAATTAACCTGTTTTAAAAAATTAGTATGTACTTTCCACTCAATTTTGCTGTCAATCTAAAACACTGAAAAACAAAATTTAATAATCTTAAAAAGTTAATATCCTCCAGAGCTAAAATATTACACAAATTGTCAGACTACATCCCAGTGGCTTGAATTTACTACACACCAGAGACCTACGTCCTGGCAGATTTCAAAATATTATTTTGCCAACATGCTAAATATGAATTGTGAGGAAAAACTGATATTAGCCATAGCTAAAAACTGATGTATAAAATCAGAGTGATAATTTATAAATTTATAATGAGAAATAACTGTCAAAGAAACCAGAATATTCAAGTTCATAAATTAGCAGTTAATTCCTCTATGAAGAAGCAACAAAAGACCTGGAATAATCTTGAGCAAGGAGAACAAAGCAGGAGGTACCCACATGTCTTGATTTCAAAATACATTACAAAACAGTAATCAAAACCCTATGGTACCAGCATTAAAAACAGATATATAGAGCAATGGAACAGAGCAGAGAGCCAGAAACATACACATACACACACACACACACACACACACACACACACACACACACACACACAGAGTATTATCCAGCCTTCAAAAAGCAGAAAATCTGGCCGGGCACAGTGGCTCACACCTGTAATCCCAACACTTTGGGAGGCCAAGGTGGGCAGATCACGAGGTGAGGAGTTTGAGACCAGCCTGACCAACATGGTGAAACCCCGTCTCTACTAAAAATACAAAAATTAGCCGGACGTGGTGGTGCATGCCTGTAATCCCAGCTACCCAGGAGGCTGAGGCATGAGAACTCCTTGAACCCGGGAGGTGGAGCTTGCAGTAAGCCAAGATAGTGCCACCATATCCAGCCTGGGAAACAGCACGAGATTTCATCTCAAAAAAAAAAAAAAAAAAAAAAAAAAGGCAGAAAATCCTAGGGCCAGGCATAGTGGCTCACGCCTTCAATCCCAGCATGTTGGGAGGCCGACGTGAGAGGATCACTTGAGGCAGGGACTTAGAGATCAGCCTGGGCGATACAGTGAGAACCCCTCTCTATAAAATAATTTTTTAAAATTAGGTAGGCATTGTGGTGTGCACCTGTAGTCCCAGCTACTCAGGAGGCTGAGGCATAAGTATCACTTGAGCAGTGAACTGTGATCACACCACTGTACTATAGCCTGGGAAATGGAGTAAGGCCCTGTTTCAAAAAAACAAAAAGAGGGAAATTCCACCATTTGCAACAACATGGACTAACCCAGCAGACATTATGCTAAGTGAAATAAATAAGCTAGATACAGAAAGACAATTTATGTATAATCTTACTTAAATGTGCAATTTAAAAAATCAAACTTATAAAAACAGAGTAGAAAGGTAGTGACTAAGGGTTGAGCAGTAGGCAAAATGGGAGATGCTGATCAAAATGTACAAAGGTTCAGTTATGTGGGATGAACAGGTTCTGGATATCTAGCATGGTGACTATAGTTAATAATCCTGTATTTTACACTTGAAATTTGCTAGAAGATTTTATCCTAAGTGTTCTTACCATATATAAGCAAATGAAATTTTATCTACGTAAGGCCATGATTATGTTAACCAGATTGATTGTAGTAATCATCCGCAATGTATAGGTATATCAAAACATCACAATGTATACCTTAAATATATGCAATTTTTATTTGTTGGGTATACCTCAATAAAGTTGGGAAAATCATAAAATTAAAAGTGTTTGATACCAACATACATCCACTAAAGTAATTTCTAAATGATGAACTTCAAGCAGAGGAAAGTGATTCTAAATAGAAGATCTGAAAGGGAAGAAATCATGATAAAATAAAGTGGCAAATATATAACAAATATACACCAACACAAAAAACAGAACAAAATTACTTAATATATGTGTTGGGGGGAAAAATCAGACTAGTAGGGTTCTAAGGTCCTTGTATTGATTAGGAAGAGGGTAAAAAAATAACTTTAGAACTTGAAAAGTGAAGTATACATGTTAAAACTTATACGACAACCACTAAAGGAAAAGGAATGGGGTCTCGGGGGAAAAGATAGAAAAAGACAGAAAGAAAATAATAAAACTGACAAATCTCTGGCAAGAATCACCATCAAAAAAAAAAAAAAAAAAAAAAGAGAGAGAGAAACAAACAAGGGATAGGGCCAGGCACAGTGGCTCGTGTCTGTAATCCCAGCGCTTTGGGAGGCCAAGGCAGGAGGATAGCTTGAGGCCAGGAGTTCAAGACCAGCCTGGACAACATAGCCAGACCCCACTCTGCAAAAAAATTAAAAAATTACCAGGCAAATACTGCACTGATGGGAATGAAAAGGAGGAATATGAATATAAATGCTTTAGAGGTTAAAAGGATAAGAGGATGTGATGAGCTTTGTCAACAAATTTGAAAACAAACACAATAAGTAAATGTCTAGAAAAATAAACTTATTTAAACTGACTCAACAACTGGAAAGGCTGAATAGTTCTAAAAGCTTTAAAATTCCCCACAAGTATTCCAACATAATTTGTCAAATATCTTTCCTTTCCCAATTGTTATATATTCTGTTAACACAAACCTTAAATCTGGCTAGAACCACTGCTAACGCTGGACAAAAAATGAAAACAAGTTTGTTTCTTTAATTTAGGCTGACAAGACTAATGCTGTCTCATGCTTTGTTTTACACATCAATAAACATGTGTGGGAGATCAAGAGTATTTGCTTTGCCTAGAGAGCTCCCTGGTATGTGAACGCAGTGTGGCACTGAATAAAGAGCACTGACATGGGAACCAGGATGTGGGCATTTCATAGTTGAAGATCTACCACTTACTTGCTGAGACACCTGAATGATCCCCCTCAGATGCAAAACTCAATGTTGTTTACCTGTAAAAGTTAAGTGCCTTTGCCATCAAGAGCAAATGGTAGTTTTCATAAGGTTTCTTTTCCACAAAATTTCTACATATTTGAGAACATGCACTTAGGGATTTCTAGCTATCTTCATGTGAAATAGCTTTTTGTTCTTTTATTTTCCCTTTCTTTCTATATTTTCCTAAGAAATATCTGTCTTAATCAACTTTGACTTCAGAATGCCTTAGAGGACAAAACTAAGCCTTGAGGGTAAAAGCAATAAAAACCTCCCTTCCTAAAATCATAAACCATTTACTGATGAGAGAATGGAAGATAAAATAATTTCACTATAGTTTATTAATCAAATGATAGAACAGTTTCAATCTATAATGAGCAATTTTAAAAATTATTCTGGTAACAGGAGTATAAGGGGAAAAGTAATTATTAAGTTAAAAGTATCACAAACTAAATATATAAAGAATAGAAAATACTAAAGGATTAGAGATACATTTTATAAACTAAGTATAAACTTAAAAAATCTACATGAAGAATATATTTTAAATAGCTAATAATCAGTAATCTCCTTCCTCCCTTCCCTCCCTCCCTCCCTCCCTCCCCCCCCCCCTCCCTCCCCCCCCCCCCCCCCCCCTTCCTTCCTTCCTTCCTTCCTTCCTTCCTCCTTTCTGTCTCCCTTCCCTTCTGTTCCCTTCCCTTCCCTCCCCTTCCCCTTCCCCTTCCCTTTTCCTTTCCCTTTCCTTTCCTTTCCTTTCTTAAGAGATGCAGTCTCTGCATGTTGTTCAAAGTGCCCTCAAACTCCTGGGTTCAAGCAATTCTCCCACCTCTGCCTCCTGAACAACTACAGCTAAAGGTACACACCACTGTTCCCAGCTAAAAATCAGTATGTTTAATATTAAAGATAAAAGCCTCCCTTATAAATTAAAAATACTGAGATGTATGTTACCTGACGAAATATCTCTGTCACAAAGTTTACATTACTTCTTTTAGAAGAAAAAACTCTGCGAACTATTTCAATGTCTGTGAGATGTTCTTCATCAATACTACAGAGACTAGATGAGCTAGGTTCTCGCTCCGTGAGAGTGCTTGTATTGGAATGAGACTGTTCGGGTTCTGTAGTTCTGTCTGCTTTATCAGCATTATCATTTTTGCTTTCTTCTCTGGATACTAAACTAGCAGCTGCTCTCTAAAATACAAAAAAAAGAGAGAGAGACACAATATCATAATCATTTCACTGTGTATTTTGTCTTTTAATAGGTAATACTGACAAAATCCAAAACATTTCCCAAGTAATCTATACCACTGCTTAAACTCTGAGCATAGAGTTTCATCTAAAAGCCATTCTAAATAATTAATTGGCAATGCAAATAACTCAACATCTAAGTGACAGAGATACTCCAAAATGTGTGGTAATTAATCATCTATCCACCTATAGTTATACATGTTTCTCAGTAAGTCTACAGTTCAAACAAGTTATTAATTAAAGCTGGGTGGATGAATAATGGAATTAGAGACAGCTCAGACCTTCAAGAATAAGTAAATAACTTAACATCAGAATGTTTACCTAATAAAACCTTAAGGTTTAAAATTATCTCTATTTTACTGTGGACAAAAATTTACATAAGTAAAAGCTTCTTAAACAAAACAAAAAACAAAGGAACAAAATTTATGACAGAAGTAGAAACGAAACTAAAAGAAAATACTAGAAAACTTGAGAGAAAATTCTGTAATTCTAACAATGGAATTTTCACCAAGGCTGAAGATCAAGCCTAACCAGAAAGACAGGGGAAAATTAAGTCTTAAGGTGGTGATAAGCAAATTCCTATATGGTAGAAGTAGCACTATTCTGTGGTATAAATTACTTTCTGTTAAGTTACTCAATTTTTGGCCTCAGTTTTGTCATCCATAAAATAACAGAGCTTAAAGAAATGATCTCAAATATACCTTTCCAACTAAAAACATTTATGATTTTCATCCATTACGTTCTAGGATCAGAAAGCAGATAGTTCTGCTTGAGAATTTTCACACTTACAGAACTTAGAGAAAAGTTTTGGAGGAAACACACCATACAGTTTGCTATAAATAAATAAACTAAGAGGAATAAAACTCAAATTTTCTGAATTTTGATTAATTAAACACACTTTATACCTTTATCCTACTTATAAAAGATTTAAGGTGTTATAGAAAAAACACACATAGTTTAAGATTTTAAAAACTAAGTAAGAAAATCTGAGGAAAGGAAAATAAAAATAGTAAAAATACTGTAATGTAGACACGTTTAGGAAAATGTACAATGAGGGAAAAGAGAAAATTAAAAAGAAGTATGAAAAAAAGGTAAACTGTTAAATCCAAAACAACAGTTTGAAATATTACTCTACTGTATTGCTTTATGATTTTATATCACATTTCTAGACTGGGAGTCTTTGTTGAAAAAGGGGGGAAGGGGGTGTGAACAGGTCTTTTAATCTGCATTTTGTGAATGCCCCCAAATAAAAAGGGCCATCAAGGTCCTACCATTTGATCACAGTTATTTTCACTTGTAAGATTTATCTGTACAATAAAGAATATTTTTAGTATTGTATAATTAAAATATAGAAATAAGAAGCTGAGACTGATATACTAATGAAATTATCTTCTATACTTCCCAAGTTTCATTTCTTTATTAAGAAACTTATTAACTCTATAAGTAAAATTTGCATTTATAAAATATATTTATACAAATAAAATAGCACTATTATTTAAGTGTACTCTCCACCTAAGGCAATTGAAATCAATGGACTAAATCTCAAAAGCCATTTCTAACTTTAACAAGCCTGCCTCATTTGTGCATTACCTGAATATTCTTTGGCAAGACTTCACCTTCCATCCCAGGAATATGAGGTCCTGTATGTGGTTTTGGCTCCAGCCAGAAAGAAACCAGCCAACGAATGACAATAACACGAGCCTTAATGAAAGGCTCCTTTGTACAATAGATTGCTTCATTGGTTTCAGCATCTTTCTTTATCATGACATAATGTGGCTTTGGTCTCATCTGTGGGATGTCTGTGCAAAATAAAAGGAAAAGGAAAACCAAAATAAGAAAGAAATTATGTTTAGAAAAGACCTACATTTTTAAATATTTAAGAAAATATTGTTACTCTATTCTGGTTTTAGAAGTAGCTTTAGCACAAAAATGACATTTCAAAATCTGCCAGATGTTGCACGGAACTCAGAAGAGTGAACCATATATACCAGGATGATATATAGAAACATCTATTTTTACAAAATATCAAAAAGTTCAATAAACCTACCTAAGTACAAAGAAGCTTCCAGAACCATTTAAAATAAATAAGAGCTCACTTCAATTAACCTAACACTGAAACACATATTTTGAAGTCATACCAAATATGAAGTTTTACCTAAGCCTGTTAATTCCCTAAACTTGGTATTAGGAACCCCTTTCTGGGAAAGAGACAATTTACCTACGGATGACCAATACCTTCTATATATGGCAGAGATAAGTTTCTAACCCAGGATTTGTACACAAGGCTCTAGGCTCAAGGCTCCAAGAGATATGTTGGGGCAATAATTATTAAAAGTAATTGCAAAAACTGCCATTACTTTTGCACCAACTATATAAATACTGGATGAAACATGGCTATGTAATTATTCAAATAGAATTTGAATAAGACTAATATTTGATTGAACCCCCATATGGGGGGACCTTAAAAATAAAATTTATAGTATAGTCTAAGGATCATACCAAACAAGAATTCAGTTTAATTTACAATCACAAATATTTCTGGTGGGCTAACTTTTCTAATTGATAAGATCCAGAGAATGAGTTTTTAAAAAATCTGTTCATTGTTGGCTGTATGTGGTGGCTCACGCTTACAATTCCAGCACTTTGGGAGGCCAAGGGGGAGGATCACTTGAAGCTAGGAGTTCAAGACCAGCCTGGGCAACATAGGGAGACCCTATCTCTAAAAAAAATAATAATTAGCCAGATGTGGTGGTGCATGACTGTTGTCCTAGCTACTGGGGAGGCTGAGATGGGAGGATTGCCTGAGTTCAGCAGTTCAAGGCTACAGTGAGCTATAATCATGCCATTGCACTCTAGCCTCCTTGGTGACAGAGTGAGTCCCTGTCTCTTTAAAAAAAAAAAAAAAAAAAAACTCATTCTCATTGAAAATTTCCTATTAATATAAATTTGCTTTCAGTATGAATCTAGGTATCATATCTGTACCAACCAATACAAGTATTAAATATGATCAGTTTCCTGCAGTAACAAATGCCAACTTTACAGTGAGAGATTATTTTACTCTTATGTGTGTTCTTTCAGAAAATTCCAAACATTACCTACCAAGTATAGGATGATATAAACTGTTTTCCTTACAGATGTTTGGAAAAATATAAGGCAAGTAATATTTCTTAAAATGTGAAAACAAAAATGAAAATCCCCTTTCTTGGTTTTCTTTGTTCTTCCATTCTAAACTTTTTACCTAAAAATAAATTATATAATTAGAATCATTCCAGAAGAAAGAATCTCTTAAAAGGAAGTATTAGCAATTATAAACAAGCTTATAAAAGGTTGCAATACACTGAATTGTTAACACTAAAGATCATGATACATAGCGTAAGGACAAATCTTTTAAATTGGTCTAATGTCAAACAAGTACATTACGTATATTTTTAAAATATCCTAGAAGTGTGCTTCAAAAAACTATGAAAATTATACAAAAGTTGGCCCTACTAATGACAAAAATATTAAAGTTCTCTCCTTTTTGTCCCTTCCTGAATAATTCAGCCTAAAAAATCATACAAAATACATAAGCATATGTGGTAGGAGTGTGTGTATGTAAGCAGTAGCAGCAGTCAAGTGCAGATAATCAGAGCCTGAGCACAGGACACAAGGCATCCATAAAGAGGGTACAGCAGAGGCAGGAACCCAGTGGGGACTCACAGTCTGAGAGGGGTGAGGAGGGTGTCCACGAAGTGGGAGAAGTGAGGACAGAAAGAGATACAGTAGTATAATATAGGGTACGAGAAAGACATCCAAGCAGGTGGTTGGCAAAGGCCCAGAATGGGGTAATGGAACCCAATCAAGTTAAGGAGAATGTCTGCAGAGGAGGGCAATGGTGGCAACAGGAGATTGATCATACACAAGGGGGAACTGATTAAATAAGTAAATACACTGAGAATAATATGAGCCACATTTCTCATTGACAGGTAAGAGTTATAAATATGGAAAGGAAGAAATGGGAACGAACCCTGTGGTACTAGATCGAAATTTGGAAAATGGGTATGAATTAACATTATGATAGACAGACAGACAGACAGACAGACAGACAGGAATATGGATTTGTGTGTGTCTGTGTCTGTGAATACAATTCTTCATTAAAATGAATGACAGCTTAGAGAAGCAGCAGATTCCAGAGAGAGCAAGGAAGGTATGAGATGAGCTTGGAACATCTTGTGGTGCCAGGAAGTATGGAAGTGCTCAAAGATGGAAACAATTCAAAGGCATAGGAGTCAGCTTGAAGGAACTTCCACTAGACAAATTTAGGACAATCTGAGCATCAAAATTAGTAACTGTAGTAAATACTAACACATGAATTCACAGGAATGCATAAATTCATGTTGAGATAAATAAGTAAGTAAACAAACAGGGAGGGGAGAAAGCTTTTTCCTACAGTATGTAGCCAACTCTTGAATGTAGAATTAATGATGGAATTGATATCACCAGTTGGCCAAAAAGTGGAAATAACTCAAATATTCATTGGCTGATGAAGAGATAAACAAAATATTGTATATGTATACAATATAATATTATTCAGCGCAATAAACATGAAGTATCGATACCTGCTACAACATGGATACACCTTGAAAACATGTGCTAAGTAAAAGAAGCTAGTCAATAAAGACTACATATTGTATGATCCTATTAACATGAAATGTCCAGAACAGGCAAATACACAGAGACAGAAAATCAATTCATGTTTGCCTAGGGCTGGGGATGACTGACTCCTAATGGGTATGAGGTTTCTTATTAGCACTAAAATTATACTGTGATGGTTGTGTAACCTTGTGAATATACTTAAAAAACACTGAACTGTATGTTTTAAGTGAGTGAACTGTATGAAATGTGCATCATATCTCAAAAAAGCTGTTTTTAAAAAATTACCATTTGGTAATAACCCTCATAACTACAAAGTCAAAAGCCTTCAATGGATGTTAAAACGTGTGAAATTTCTATAAGAAATGTAATATTTAGGTAGCTACACAGTACTTCCCACAAAATACTTGTTGATTTTCCAGTGCAATACTTACTGATATTACACTGGAAAAGCCTGGCAGACACTACCTTAATCAAAGGATTAAGGCCAATATTGCTCATACATCAGAATTAGCTCAAAATGGACCACAGACCTTAATGTAAAACCAAAAAAAACTATAAAACTTCAAGAAGAAAACGTAGGAGAATATCTTTGTGACATTTGATTAGGCGAAGATTAGAAACAACTCTGAAAGTCAGATCCATTAAAAAAGTGGTATAGTGGACTTCATCAAAACAAAAAACTTCTTAAAAAACTGCCATGAAAATGGAAAGACGAGCTACTGGAAGAAAATATTTGCAAAACATACATCTGATTAAGGACTTCTTTCTAAAACACATAAAAAACTTAATAAGACAACCCAATTTAAAAATGGGCAAAAAAAAGTGAACAGATACTTCATCCAAGATAAATGGATGAAAAATAAGCACATAAAAAGATATTCAATGTACCATTAGCTGTTAGGGAAATACAAATTAAAACCATAATGAGATACCACTACACATTCACTAAAATAGCTAAAATTACAAATTGACCATACCAACTGTTGGTGAGCGTATGAAGCAATTGTATAAGTCTTAACATATTGCTGGTGGAATGTAAAAAGGTACAGTCATTTGGAAAACAGTTTGCTAGTTTCTTAAATAGTCAGTATATACCCCTACTATCTGACCCAACCATTCTACTGTTATATGTTCACGCAAAAACTTGTTTACCAATATTCATAGCAGTTTTACTTTAAATAGCCAAAAATTAGAGACCACTCAAATAACCATGAACAAATAACTGGATAAACTGGTGCATCCCCCACAATGGAATGCTATAAAAGGAGCAAACTACCGACACGTACAAGACAGACAATTCTCAAAATAATCAAACAGAAAACAAGACCAAAAAAAGTATGTACCCTATGATTAAATTTACATAAAACTATGGAAAAGGCAAACTATTCTATAATGACAAAAAACAGATCAATGGATGTCTAAGGATAAAATGATGATGTAGTAATTCAAGGGGATGAATTACAAAGGGATCCAAGGGGCATGGTGGCTCACACCTATAATCACAGCATTTTGCGAGGCTGTGATTCAAGTGGGAAGATCACTTGAGCTTAGGAGTTTGAGACCAGCCTGGGCAACAGAGTGAGACCTTATCGCTCTAAAAAAAAAAAAGTTTTAATTAGCCCGGCTCAGTGGTCTGTAGTCCCAGCTACTTGGGAGGCTGAGGTGGCAGGATCACTTGAGCCCAGGAGGTTGAGGCTGCTGTAAGCTATAATTGGGCCACTGTACTCCAGCCTGGGTGACAGAGCAAGACTTTGTCTCAAACAAACAAATAAAAAAGCAAACAAAGATCCAAGAAAATTCCTAGAGGTGATAAATATATACATTATCTTAATTGTGGTAAAGGTTTCATGGATATATACATGTAATAAAATTCATTAAATTTCAAATGTTGCAGTTTATTGTGTATCAATTATAGCTCAATAAATCAGTAAAGCAATATTTAAAATCTATACGAAGTACAAAAGTATTTTTTAAAGAAAAACTAGTAATAACAATGATGATCATAACATCTGCCCACTACAGAACACTTACGGTGTGCTGTGCAATATTTTATTCTGAGCACTTTTCACTATTTAGGCCTCAAACACCAAAATGGTGTTATTTTTATCTCTATTTTACAAATAAGGACACAGAAACAGCAAGTGGTTAAGTAATTTGCCAATGGCCACACTATTAGTAAAATGTGGAATCAGGGTTCAAACTCTGGCAATCTAGTTTAGGGTCCAAATCAACTTTATAATGTTTGTTTCTGAGGTATAAGGAATTTTTGTGTTTGGAGCCGTTACAAGAAATGTGCGAATAAAAGCGTTTTCATCAATCAGGGTATGTACATTTTATATCTAAAGGTGAATAGGTTACCTTGCAAAATACACGCACCTAGAAATTCAAAAGATACAAACAGGTTTAAGTGTAAATTACATTTCTCCTGATCATCCTGCAGCCCGCCTCCCTATTGGCAGATTGATTCCTAAATCAAACAATTTTCAGCTTTTCATTTGAAGTATCACAACTGCTGATTACAAATGAAAGGATTAGAAAATAAGCGCAACTGTCTCACATAAGAAGGTATACACATAAAGAGTCTACAAAAATGTCCCTGTCTGGATTCCTAAGAGTGTCATCATCCCTCCAATGATTTGAGAAAGAGATATTAACGTATTTTCAGTAGCAAAAATTTGTCACTTCTTCAAGAAAATAAGCAAATATATGCATCTACTATGTGATGAACCTGGAGCAGTTACTGTCTGCTGCTAAGGTTTCCACTACAGATGCAAGAAAAACAAGTCCTTGTACTTTCTGTCCTTTTTATTATGGCAGCCAAGGATGAATAGAGGAATACAGGGAAAAAACATGAAGAGAGAATTTTTGTAACTCAGGAATACCCTTGTAGAGTGAAGAGTCTATTTTACCCCAAAGAAGAATCTAAAATTTGAGTTTACATGACAAGTGTAGGAAATATCCCCTACCACCATCACTTGGTTGATTACACTTGCAAAAGCTTAAAAGCTAAAGCTAATTAAAAGCAAGCCATTGATCCTTCCCCTCCAACCTCCCTGACGAAAAGAAAACAAGCAAATATCTACTATGATAGAATAATGGTAAGAGAGAGAAAAGGGAATCACCCATATAGGATAGTAAGGAGTGTGATATCAAAGAAGATAACAAGTACCTGAATTACTATGTATTTTAGAAGTGCTTCAAGAAAATAGCTTGTGAGATCTTCTTGCCCTTTATCTCCTGATTGTGGGGGGACAAGAGGAGTGATTTCTTCTATAGTGACTTGAGCTATCCAAAGACAAAAGAATAGTATAGTTACGAAACAAATTTAGTAAACAATAATATAACCAAATAAACTTTAACTGCAAAATGTGTATGCAATGAAAATTGCTAGAAAACTTTCTAATGACTGATCCTTGAAATAAATCTTGAGATCATCCCTGATAGTTGATCACAACAATAAATTTTATTTATTTATTATTATTATTTTTGAGATGGAGTCTCACTCTGTTACCCAGGCTGGAGTGCAATGGCACGATCTTGGCTCACTGCAACCTACGCCTCCTAGGTTCAAGCGATTCTCCTGTCTCAGCCCCCCAAGTAGCTGGGATTCCAGGCTTCTGCCACCACACCCAGCTAATTTTTGTATTTTTAGTAGATGGGGTTTCACCATGTTGGCCAGGCTGGTCTCAAATTCCTGATCTCAGGTGATTTGCCCACCTCAGCCTCCCAAAGTGCTAGGATTACAGGTGTGAGCCAACGTGCCTGGCCACAAATTTTAATAATCAGCTGTTTTGTGAACCCTTGATTGAGAGAATGTGACAAAGGGATGGACAGACAAATAACACAGCGATTACAAGTATGTAACATCTCAGTTGAGAAAGAACTTCTGGCAATTTGAAATTCACATGAAGACTGCCATTACAAAAATTCCATAAGATCACAAACATTTGTAATAATGCAGTTATTTATCAAAGTACCAATCTGTTAACACTTACAAAATAAGAAAGTTTTATATTTTTTACTTTTCAGATGTTCAAAAAAATTCATTATAACAAATGCAAATGCAAGAAAGTCAACCCACAATTAGCTGAAATCTCTTAAATATTTCCTAAGCTGAACAATTAGTACCTGGTAAACACATGTAGGTCCCTAAACCTGACTCTCAGTAAATATCAACCAGCAAGCTCACAACAGAGGTAGATTTCAGTTCTTAAATAATACATGGTATGTTATTCTGCCATTCATTTTTAAAAATTATTCTTTAAGAATACAAACTTTAGGCCGGGCGCAGTGGCTCACGCCTATAATCCCAGCACTTTGGGAGGCCAAGGCAGGTGGATCATCTGAGGTCAGGAGTTCGAGACCAGCCTGGCCAACATGGTGAAACCCCATCTCTACTAAAAATACAAAAAATTAGCCTGGCGTGGTGGCACGTGCCTGTAATCTCAGCTACTGTGGAGCATGAGAATTGCTTGAACTGGGAGGTGGAGGTTGCAGTGAATCGAGATTGCGCCACTGCACTCCAGCCTGGGCGACAGAGTGAGACTCTTGTCTCAAAAAAAAAAAAAAAAAAAAAAGAAAGAAAAGAAAGTACAAACTTTATCATCTGTACTCTGGACTTCCTGGACCACTGTCATCATACAGAAGAACACACTTTATGAAAGCTTTATTTTGTGAAGCTATAAAAATCCCCTTAATACTCACTCTTCCCATAAATATGTCTTAGTCTCCACTGGGGAGTATACAGAGATTCCATATTTTCCACATCTTATAGACTAAAAAGCAAAACTTCTATTCTCAAAAAGAGAAGGGGCAGAAGTCAGTCACAAATGTATTTAAAATGAATAATAATTATTTTTAAAGTCATCCACAAAAACACTGATGAAAGAGTGGGTGTGGTGGTATGCATCTGTAGTCCCAGCTACTCAGGAAGAGGCTGGAGGACTGCCTGAGCCCAAGAGTTCAAGGCTACAGTGCATTATGGTCGCACCTGTGAAAAGCCACGGCACTCTAATCTGGGCAACACAACTTTGAGACCTTACCTCTTAAAAAAAAGTGATGAAAGAAAACCCCTCTATAAAGAGAGGCAGAAGAAAAAATGCTTATAGAACATCTGTTAAGTAGACCAGACATAGTGGCTGACACCTGCGATCCCAACATTTTGGGAGGTAAAGGTGGAGGACTGCTTGACTTTAGGAGTTTAAGGCCAGCCAGGCAACATAGCAAGACCCCATATCTCTACAAAAAATTTTAAAATGAGCCAGGTGTGGTGGGTGGCATGCACCTGTAGTCCGTTATTGACTTGAGCCCAAGAGTCTGAGGTCACAGTGAGCCGATCATGGGAGTGCACTACAGCATAGGCAACAATAGCCCAAGGCACTAGGGAGGCTGAGGCCGAAGAATTGTTTGAACCCAGAAGGTAGAGGTTGCAGTGAGCCAAGGCCACGCCACTGCACTCCAGCCTGGGTGACAGAGTGAGATTCTGTCTCAAAAAAAAAAAAAAAGAATATTAGAAAAAAGGTAAAAAGCACAAAGACTCACTAATGAATGAAAGCAAAAATTAAACATCACTGAAATTATAAATTTTTAAATAGCAATACTATTTATGAAAATTTATAAAAATTTAATTTACATATAACATTTTCACAGTCATATCTAATGGACAAAATAAAACACACTTGTACTTCAATGTATATCCAATTAACTCCAGGATACAAGGTGATATGTAATAGTAACTAATGAAAAATGTTAAATGATTTGTATTAACCGCAGGTTTTTGATGCTTACACCTCTGAAGCCTTACTGATTCTAGAAAGAATATGTCCTTCCCAGGGCTAGCCAGTTCCTAGAGACAGTAAGTGACTAGCCTGTGAGCATGCCTTTCATATTCAAACCAACCAATCCAGAGCCCACACCCCTACCACCTCCTCTACACTCACATTCAGGGTGACTACTCCTTTGCCCTAATTACAAAAGGACTGGGTACTAGACAACTAGGGACAATTCTTACGCCCTACAGCCCACTGGAATTATTCAAACTAGCTAATCCTAAACTTGCTTAACTTGGGTTGCCTGTTTCTTGCCACAGAAATCATAATAAAGACTCTTGCCCATGTTTTTCCCAGTTCCCTCTGCCTCCTGACCAACTCTGGTACTTCTCCAAGTAGCCCTTGTGGCATGGCATGCCCCTTCCGCTTGGGAACTGTGAGTAACAAACTATTATTTCAACAGCTTTCTTGATCTGCTGACTTCATGATACCTGAATAATAGTAAAAGCTATGCTTTAAAACATTGCCTTGGATTACCCAGTTAATTAATGCACAGACATTTGAAAAAATACACTAAGAGACTACATAGAAAGCTTAAACATACTGACAGGTAACATCCCATGAATCTTACTTTCTTGAAGGTTGAGTGGAGGATTAATAAGATTATCTAAAGTTCGAGGTCCATGTTCAGACTGTGGTGCTGAAAATCCAGGGATTAAGCATGAAAACATCCAGAGCTGTTCTTTGCTACAGTTATTCTGAAGAGCTTGCAACCACAGTAAGAAAAGACGAACACCTTCTCGCCTAATCTAAAATAAAATAAAATGAAAATAGACAGTATTTTTATTTATAATGGAAATCCTTCCTTCCTTTGAAAAACAAAGTTCTCTAGATGATGATTACAGAATGATACTTTCAAAAGGCCAGGCAGGGAAGGAAAGGGAAGTTGAGGAAGAGGAGAGAGACAAGACATATCAATAGCATCTATTGAAATCATTATTTGGAAATACAAATGCACGGATTTTTAACAAGTATAGAATGAACTTGTTCTCTAAAGGCATCAGGTAATTTTTATTCTATAATTTCCATTTATAAAAATTAGAAAATCATTTCCTTCTTGTCTGCTTCCCTCCTTGCCTACCTCCCATCACCACCAGTCTAATCCAAGAAGCAAGAAGAGAGAGAACAATGACTGTTAGTAGTGAGAATGAGTTTGGTAAAAGGAGGAATGGTTATGGGGATCCTGGCACATTGCGAATTCAATGTTCTTGCCCCTGAAAAGTTCTGAAATTATTAAAATTATTAAGTTAAAATAAAGTGATTTAAATTATTTAAATAAAATTATTTAAAACCTCTCTGAAATTATCTCATTTCCTTATTATTTGATTCTAAGCTCCAAGATAGCAACTTTGTTCTACTCTATTAAAGCACCTAAAACAATACCCTGTACACAGACGACAATAAATATTTTAATTGATTAATGAACATTCTCTCAGCATAAAAACAGTAAAAGAAATAGAGGAAAATTCAATCTCTGACAAGCAAAACACTCATTCTTCCACTATGTAATCTCACTGATAGCTTCGGAAATTACCTTATCAGAGCTTGTTCATGGCCACTGTCAAAGGTATTCAACTGCTGTCACTTTCACGGTTCAGCCAGATAACAGGAGAAAAGCTACAGGAAGGCTTATTCCTTTGTACTTTTATACCCAAGCCATGAAGTCAAAAGCCCCTGTAATAATGTTACTTTATCTAACCTACAGTAAGATATTTTCGGAATGGGCAGCTTCTCTTATTACAGTACAATGACATAATGAAAAAGAAACAAAAACGTTTATATATATATATATATGTATCTCCCCTACTTCCCTCTACATCTAATAGTGGCTATGGTGGAATGAAGAATAATCTGTCGAATGACTAAATAATGTTTTTCTTCTGGGGACCATAAAGAGGCAAGATTGCTGGTGAATGAGTCCACTGAGTGGCAAAGTACAACAATTTTTCAATGTCCCCAGTCAACCTAGAATGGTTTGTCAAACAAACTCTTGTTACTTTTTTTTTTTTTTTTTTTTTTTTAAGATACAGTCTCACTCTGCCGCCCGGCTGGAGTGCAGTGGCGTGATCTCAGCTCACTGCAACCTCCGCCTCCAGGGTTCAAGCAATTCTCCTGCCTCAGCTGCCCAAGTAGCTGTGAGTACAGGCGCCTGCCACCATGCCTAGCTAATTTTTGTATTTTTAGTAGAGACAGGGTTTCACCATGTTGGTCAGGCTGGTCTCCAACTCCTGGCTTCAAGTGATACACCCACCTCAGCCTCCCAAAGTGCAGGGGTTACAGGAGTGAGCCACTGCACCTGGCCTCTTGCTACATTTTAAGTGAATTCATTTCAATTAAATAAACTGAAGACAATTCAAAGATCTTTAGGAAAAAGTTTAGGTATGAAAAGTGTTAACAGGTGGCATGTATGTTCTACTCAGTATTTTTAAAGTCATAGAAAATAAACACAGTTGTACCTTTAAGGAGTTTCCTGTGTGAAGTAGTTTCTTTAAAATCAAACCTGAAAAGAAAACATGATTTTAAATATTCACATCTTATCTATTTGTAAATGTCAGAGTTCTCGGTCGGACTTGAAAACACTTTTAAGTAAGTCCTTGGCAACCTCCAAATTATTCTTGGTGACCTTTATATCCTTCTGGCCATACTTGGGATCGGAAGGGCATATAAAAAGAATCACCTTTTCAACACATGCTTTATTGCAATTAAACATGATTTTTTTAATTAACAAAACCTAGGCCCAAAATTGCACTTAACACAACAATCTATTATAAATCTCTTATTTAGACTAAGAATAAAATACTTTATCACTATCCAAATGAAATCCACTATAGAAAATTTTCATTTAGTTAACCATATGAACATCCTTAACTGTAATATTTCCTAACAAATATTTCCATTATACTAATTTTCTAAGTTGCACAAAGTCATTAATTTTTTTTTCTTTTCAATCATGAAGTATTTCAAACCTACAATAAAATACTGAAAATAACATGAGAACCACCATTCAGTATGAATAAATCTACACATAGTTCCATGTTTGTTTCACTTACCTGCATTATCTCCAATGTTTTACTTTACCGTACAGGTATCACTGAGGCCCAAATCATACTGTTCCTTTCTTCCCCAGAGGAAACCATTATCTAGGCTTTGGTATTAATCATTTCCAAAAATATTTTTATATTATTACTACACATTTATAAATCCATAAAAATAATATAAACTGTTTCATACAAGTCATTTATTTTTTAAAAGTCATTTATAAGTTACTTTTCACATACAACATTAGCTTAAGATATTTATCTATACTTATCAATGTAGCTCTAGTTAATACATTTTAAGAAGTGCAAACTATTCCACTGTATGAACATACCAAAATTTATTTATCATCTTTATATTAAGACATTTGGTTTGTTTTCAGATTTTTGCTATTCCAAGAGTACCATAATAAATAGTTCTTGTTCATGATTCCCTGTACACACCTGAGTTTCCCTGAGGTATATAAATAGGAATAAAATCACTTTCAGCTTTACCAAATATTAGATAATTCTCTCCAAAGGAGTTGTGACAATTAATAGTACTACCAGCAGTATATGGGAGGGCTCTAGTACCATATTGTTGGCAGCACAAAACATTGACAGATGCTCTAATATTTGATAATCTGATGTATGTTAACTATCTTAATATTGCTTTCATTTGATATTTCCTAGCGACACTGAACATCTTTTAATTTGGCCATTCAAGGTTTCCCTGTTTTATCCTTTGTACAATTTTAAATTTAGTTGTCCTTTTTTCCCCCCGAAAGAGATGGGGTCTTGTTCTGTTGTTCATTCTGGAGTTCAGGCTGGAGAATAGCGGTGCAATCATAGATCACTGCAGCCTCAAATTCCTAGGTTCAAGTGATCCTCCCACCTCAGCCTCCTGAGTAGCTGGGACTACAGATGTGCACCACCAGGTCTGGCTAATTTATGTACTTTTTGTAGAGGGCCTCATTATGTTGCCAAGGCTGATCTGGAACTCCTGGCCTCAAGTGATCCTCCCACCTTGGCCTCCCAAAGTACTGGGATTACAGGTGTGGGCCACTACACCTGGCTTTCTTTATATTTATATATATATACATGGAGTTCCTTCTGTATTACTAATTCTGTGTCTGTTTCTATGAATTGAAAATATATTTTCCCAAACAATTCAAGTTTTTGTTGGGTGGGGAGGTGGTATATTCTGATGCAGATAAGTTTTAATTCTTTTTTTTTTTTTTTTTTTTTTTTTGAGACAGGTTCTCACTCTGTCACCCAGGCTAGAGTGCAGTGGCGTGATCATGGCTCATTGCAGCCTTGACCTCCTGAGCTCAAGTAATCCTCTTGCCACAGCCCCCAGATAGCTGGGACTAAAGGCACATGCCACCATGCTTGGATGATAATTTTTGTATTTTTTGTAGAGATGGGGTTTTGTCATGTTGCCCAGGCTGGTCTCAAATTCCTGAGCTCAAGTGATCTGTCCACCTTGGCCTCCCAAAGTGCTGAGATTACAGGCATAAGACACCCTGCCTGGCCTTAAATTTTAATATAATCAATTTGCCAATGTTTTTCTTTCTTACGTGTTCTTTCTATGTCTAAAGAAATCCTTCCTTACATTAAAATTATAAACTAAATATTCACTTCAAAAAGTTTTTATGTGTTGCTTTTCACATGTAGGTCCTGAAATCTATCAGAAATGTATTTCCTTGTGGGTGGAAGAGAATTCGTTTTTTTGCAAATGGAAAACCAAGTATAGTACTATTTTGGGGTTTATGATGTTCAAATGAACTAAAATGCCATCTCAATCATATTTCAAGCTTCCATACATAAGCTTAGGTCTTTGGCTCATCTCCATGTTCCTTTTCATTCACCCACTTATCCATCCCTACATCAGTAACAGTGTCTTTGTTAGTATAATTTTATAATTTATCTTGTTATCAGGCATGAAAATAGCCACCACCACCACCCTCTTGGTCCGACTTGTTATTCTTCCCAATTGCTTTGGCTTTTATTTTACATATAAACTTTAAGATAAATTTGTTAGGCTATATTTAAAAATCCCTATAGGAATGTTAATAATTGTTATATGTGTGTGTGTATATATATTTGATATACATGATATATATTTTATATACACGGTATATACATTTAATATTAATGTTAATATACTTAACAAATTCATTTGTTGGAGACAGATTCTTGCTCTGTCACCCAGGCGGGACTGCAGTGGTACAATCATGGCTTACTGCAGCCTCAGCCTCTTTGTCTCAAGCTATCCTCTCACCTCCCCAGTAGCTGGGAACACAGACACACACTACCACACCCAGCTAATTTTTCCATTTTTTTTTTTGTAGAGTTGGGGTACTTCCATGTTACCCAGGCTGGTCTCAAACTCCTTGGCTCAGGTGATCCACCCACCTTGGCCTCTCAAAGTGCTGGGATTACAGGCGTGAGCCACTGCACCCAGCCAAAAATTGTCTTACATGTGCATCAAATATGCTGAAAGGTAATGCTATAGTAGTTCCGAAGTTGTTGGATTAGGGAACTCTACTAATGGAAAAACAAATTTAGATGAGTTTGCTATGAGAACTGGAAACACAGATGGCGTATTTGGACCAGTTAAAAAAAACCCTGGAGTTATTCAAAACAATATAGAGAAAAGAGGAAGTAGAATCTCCACTTTGAGAATGAAGATTCAGACTGGCTGATAACTGGAGGAAGCTCAGGTGGGAGTGCAGTTGCCGTATCGGCATTCACATGCTATGCGGCTTTAGGATCAGATACAGGAGGACTGATCAGAAATCCTGCTGCCTACTGTGGGCTTGTTGGTTTCAAATAGTTTTCCATCATGGTCTCATTTCCCCGGAGAATCTGATGGATGTGCAAGGACTCTTAACCAGATGTGTGGATGATACAGCAATTGTCTTGGGTGTACTGGCTGGACACGACCCTAAGGATTCTACCACAGTACAGGATCCTGTTAAACCATTCATGCTTCCCAGTTTGACAAATGTGAGCAAACTATGTATAGGAATTCCAAAGGAATATCTTGTACTGGAATTATCAAGTGAAGAACAGTCTCTTTGGTCCAAAGCTGCTGACCTCTTTGAGTCTGAGGGGACCAAAGTAACTGAAGTTCACTTATTCAATTGTCTGCTACCATCTATTATGCATATCAGAAGCAGCATCGAGTATAGCAAGATTTGATGGGCTACAATATGGTCACAGATGTGACACTGATGTGTCTACTGAAGCCATGGATGTTGCAACCAGATGAGAAGGGTTCAATGATTTTGTAAGAGGAAGAATTCTCTCAGGAAATGTTTTCTTGTTAACATAAAAATATAAAAATTATTTCATCAAAGCACAGAAAGTGAGATGTCTCATTGCTAATGATTTTGTGAATGCTTTTAACTCTGGAGTATGCTAACTCCCACACCACCTTGAGTGAGGCAGTACCATACTTGGAGTTCATCAAAGAAGACCACAGAACAGGAAGTGCCCAGGATGCTATTTTTACACAACCTGTAAACATGGCAGGACTGCCAGCAGTGAGTATCCCTGTTGTACTCTCAAACCAAGGGTTGCCAATAGGACTGTAGTTTACTGGACGTGCATTTTGTGACCAGCAACTTCTTACAGTAGCCAAATGGTTTGAAAAACAAGTTTCCTATTACTCAACTTCAAGAACTTATGGATGATTGTTCATCAATCCTTGAAAATGAAAAGTTAGTCTCTATCTCTCTAATACAGTAGGGATAAATATATCATGCAAATTTTTAAAAAACTGTTGCCTTTACACTATCAAGTTTATCTCCCATGAATATTGCACAAAATTCCATTTATTCATTCAAGTCCTTTCTTGTTCTTCAATGATTACATAATTGCCATACATTAATTTAATAATTTTTATTGAATGCCATATTGAAAACTAAATTTAATATTTTAAATGACTCTAGAATAAACATTCATTCCAAGCACACTGGAACATTCTTCAAGAGAGCCTATACTCTGGGCCACAAAACATCTCAATAACTTTAAGATTAAAATCATGCAAAAATATTTTTTCTGATGACAAAGGAATTAAGTTATAAATCAAAAAGGAAAAAAATTGTGGAAACATCAAATATTTGAAGAGCTTAAAAATAATAACACTCTTAAATAAGTTACAGGTTGAAGAAGAAATAAAAAAAACATGAAAAAATATTTTCAATTGAACGAAAATGAAAACACAACATACTAAAATTTATGGGATGGATTTAAGGCAAAGCTTAGAGGGAAATTTATAGTTTTAAATATCTATATCAGAAAAGAAGAAATCTATCAGATTAATATTCTATGGTTACATCTTAAAAAACTAGAAACAGGGCCAGGCACGGTGACTCACACCTGTAATCCCAGCACTTTGGGAGGCTGACGAGGGTGGATCACGAGGTCAGGAGACCGAGACCATCCTGGCCAACATGGTGAAATCCTAATTTTTGTAAAAATACAAAAATTAGCTGGATGTGGTGGCATGTGCCTGTAGTCCCAGTTACTCAGGAGGCTGAGGCAGGAGAATCGCCCAAATCCAGGAGGCAGAGGTTGCAGTGAGCCAAGATAGCATCACTACAGAATAGTAAATTAAACCCAAAGCAAGCAGAATTTCTCTCTTTTTTAATTAATTTGTTGTTGTTGTTGTTGAGACAGGGTATCATTTTTTTACTCAGGCTAAAGTGCAGTGGCATGACCTTGGCTCACTGCAGCCTTGACCTCATCAAGTTCAGATGATCTTCCCAAATCAGCCTCCCAAGGAGGTGGGACTATAGGAAGGAGTCACCATGTCTGGATAATTTTTGTACTTTTTTCTGAGATGGGGTTTCACCATGTTGCCCAGGCTGGTCTCAAACGCCTATGCTCAAGCGATTCACCTGCCTCAGGCTCTCAAAGTGCTGGGATTACAGGCATGAGTCACTGTATCTGTCCTTATTTTCATGTTTTAGAGATTGTGTCTCGTTCTGTCACCCAAATTGGAGTATAGCAGTGTGATCATAGCTTACTGCAGCCTTGAATTTCTGGACTTAAGTGATCCTCCTGCCTCAGCCTCCCGAGTAGCAGGGATTACAGGCACATGCCAACAAGTGAGGCTAACTTAAAAAATTTTTTTTTTTGTCTTTAAAGACAGAGTCTCACTATGTTGCTCAAGCTGGTCTCAAACTCCTGGCCTCAAGTGATCATTCTGTTTCAGCCTCTGCCAAGGGCTGAGATGACAGGCATTGGGCATCAGGCCTGCCACAGAATGTTTTATAAAAAATAAGAGGTCGAGTATGATGGCTTACACCTGTAATCCTAGCACTTTGGGAGGTTGGGGTAGGAGGATTGCTTGAAGCTGAAGGTTTGAGACCAGCCTGGGCAACAAAGCAAGATCCTGTCTCTAAAAAAATAATTTTAAAAAGTGAGCCGGGCCTGGTGGTGTGCACCTGTGGTCCCAGCTACTTAAAAGGCTAAGTGGGGGGATGGCTTAAGCCCATTTCAAGGCTTCAGTGAACCATGATCAATCACAGCACTGCACTTCAGCCTGGGTGACAGAAAAAGATCCTGTCTCTTAAAAAAAAAAAAAAACAAATACAGTACTACAAAATAAGTAGGTTGGGTGCAGTTGCTCACGTCTTTAATCCCAGCACTTTGGGAGGCAGAGGTGGGCGGATCACCTGGTCGGGAGTTCGTGACCAGCCTGACCAGCATAGCCAGAAACGCCATCTCTACTAAAAATACAAAATTAGCTGGGTGTGGGGGTACATGCCTATAATCCCAGCTACTTGAAGGTTGAAGCAGGAGGATCACTTGAATTTGGGAGAGCAAGTTGTGAGTGAGCCGAGATCGTGGCACATTATGCTCCAGCCTGGGAAACAGAGCGAAACTCCATCTAAAAAAAAAAAAAAAAAAAAAAATATATATATATATATATATATATATATATATATATATATATATATATAAATCAAAGAAGACAGAATGGAAAACAAGAAAAATGAAAGCAGAAAAAGTATAAAGAAAATCAATGATATCAAAATAAAGAAAATCAATGATATCAAAAGTTTGTTCTTTGAAAAGATCAACAAATATGACAAATAGCTAGACTGGCCGATAAAATAGGAGAGAAGACATAAATGACCAAAATCAAGGAGGAAGCGGATATAGCCATTAAAAAGAATAAAATCATGTCCTCTGTAGCAACATTTAGCAACATAGATACAGCTGGAGGCCATTATCCTAAAGCAAATTGACATGGGAACAGAAAACCAAGTATCACATATTCTCACTTGTAAGTGGGAGCTAAACACTGGGTACTCATGGACATAAAAATGGCAACAATAGATATTGGGAAGTACTAGAGGGACAAGGGTTGAAAAACAAACTATTAGGTACTATGTTCACCACCTGGGTGACAGGATCAATCATAACCTAAACCTCAGCATCATGAGATAAACACAAGTAACAAATCCGCATATGTATCCCCTGAATCTAAAAATAAAGTTGAAACCACTAAAGAATGAATGAATGAATAAATAAATAAATAGTTTCTGTAATGTTAAAAAAAAAAAAAAAGAATGAAAGGGGACATCACTATTGACCCTATGAGAATTAAAAGGATTACTATAAAGGAGTAACTTAAACAACTTTATACTAACAAATTGGTTCCTAGAAAGAAACAAATTATCAAACTGACTCAAAGAGATATATAAAATCTGAATAAACCTATAACAAGTAAAGAAATTGAAGTAATAATTACAAATATCACAAAGAAAAGTCCAAGTACAAATGGCCTCACTATTGAATTTTATCAACTATTTAAAGAAGAAAATGCTACCTACCACTCATTCACAAACTCTTTCAGAAAACAGAAGAGGGACCACTTCTAAACTTCTATAGCTATCTTAATAGTAAAGCCAAATAAAGACGACAAAATAAAATACAGTACAATATTCATCATAAACAGAGAGGCAAACTGAAACAAGCAACAAATAAAAAGGACTATAAATAGTAAATAGGATTTACCTCAGGGATGGAAAGTTGGTTTGACACTTGAAAATCAATTAGTAAAATACACAATATTAATAGAATAAATGACAAAAGCACCAATGACACTGATAATGATCGCATCAATAGACGCAGAAAAAGTATCTGGCAAATTACAATGTATACTTATGATTAAAAACTCTCAAACTAGGAACAGAACGTCTTCAACTGGATAAAAGACATCTACAAAAAAACTACAGCTAAAATCATATATAATGGTGAAAGACTGACCATTATCTTTCTCCCTGAAATCAGGAATAATGTAAGAATGTCTGCTCTTTCTTGCCACTTTTATTCAATATTGTACTGGAGGCACAATAAACAAAAAAGAAATAAAGAAGAAATTAAAGGCATCCAATTAGAAAAAAAAAAAAGTAACTGTACTCATTCACAGAAGATATAACCCTATCATAGTAGTAAATCCAAAGGAATACACAATAAAACAAATATAACTAGCAAACAATAAGTAAAGAAACTAGAAACAACACAAATGTCCATTCTGTTTGGCACTTTGCATTTTTCTTCCATTTCTGATTCACAGAGATATTTGTCTTGACGCTAATCTTGCTTTTTTGTTTTATAGTTTTATCATCACTGTTAATGTATCAGAATAAAGGAAGCAGTGGATCCAAAAACTTCCTATGGCATTTTGACTACAAACCCTTCATCTATAATTTTTCTTATATTCCTAGTCAATCTGTTCTTGTATTCTTTATTTTCTTTTTACTAAAGCATCACCTATTAATTCATTTCAACTAACAACCCATTAAAGAGCATTTTTCATATATTATTCTTTGTTTCAAATATGAAATACATACTTGAATTACTCACCAATACTATGAAACTGCCATCGCTGATGAATTCTTTCTGGAAGAAGTTGTAAAATTTTCTAAAAATCAATATAAAGAGAAAAAAGAAAAGAATAAAACCAAGTAATGAGTTCACATCCTGCAAAATATGAAAAATTAAAGGGCTCACTAAGTATAACAAATACAAAATAGGCCAGGTACGATGGCTCACACCTGTAATCCCAGTGCTTTGGGAGGCCGAGGTGGGTGGATCACCTGAGGTCAGAAGTTCGAGACCAGCCTGGCCAATATGGCGAAACCCCGTCTCTACTAAAAATACAAAAATTAGCCAGGTGTGGCAGCAGGCACTTGTAATCCCAGCTACTCAGGAGGCTGAGGCAGGAGAATCGCTCGAACCCGAGAGGCAGAGGTTACAGTGAGCTGAGATCACACCATTGCACTCCAGCCTGGGCAATAAGAGCAAAACTCTGTCTCTAAACAAAATAAAACAAACAAAAAACTACAAAATAGTACCTAAGCTAATCTGATAGTATTGACATTATTTTAGCACTAGCATGTTGATCACTATTTGAAAATCTCAAAAAACAATAAGCAATACTAACCAGTACTTGGAACAAGAAATTAACAAAATATATCTTTTACAATAATATAGAAGGTATATGTTTTCCTAATGATTAAACGCGAATTCTAATATATTTAAAATACTTATTTACTATTTCTAGATTTTCTTTTTTTCCCCCTTTAGAGACAGAGTCTTGCTATGTTGCACAGGCTGGAGTGCACTGGCTATTCAGAAGCATGACCATAGTGCACCATAGCCTTGAATTCCCAGACTCAAGCGATCCTCCTGCCTCAGCCTCCCAACAAGGTGGGAATACAGGCACGTGCCCCTATGTCTAGCAATTCTTAGAATTTCTATATTGTGGATATCATGATGAGTTTCAATTCTTCCAGATGTTAATATTTGTGACATTTTCTCTTTCTTCTAATGGTTCTTTCTCCTGTTTTGATAATCCTAGAGCAAATATTTTGATTTCATAAGAACCCCATCAAATATTTATACTGAGTTAATCATGTGAAACTAAAGGTATTTAGATGCTATGATGGATATAGGTATGAGAGCAAATTTTTTTTTTTTGAGACGGAATCTTGCTCTGTCGCCCGGGCTGGAGTGCAGGGGCCGGATCTCAGCTCACTGCAAGCTCCGCCTCCCGGGTTCACGCCATTCTCCTGCCTCAGCCTCCTGAGTAGCTGGGACTACAGGCACCTGCCACCTCGCCTGGCTAGTTATTTGTATTTTTTTAGTAGAGATGGGGTTTCACCGTGTTAGCCAGGATGGTCTTGATCTCCTAACCTCGTGATCCGCCCGTCTCGGCCTCCCAAAGTGCTGGGATTACAGGCTTGAGCCACTGCGCCCGGCAGAGAGCAAATTTTTTTTTAAGAGGTGGGGGTTTCACCCTGTCACCCTGGCTGCAGTGCAGTGGTGTGATCATAATTCACCGTAGCCTCGAATTCATGGGTTCAAGCGATTCACTCATCTCGGCCTCCCAAACAGGACTATAGGTGTGTGCCACCATGCCCAGCTCAATTTTTTTTTTATTTTTTATTTTTGTGGAGATGGAGTATCACTATGTTGTCCAGGCTGTGCCCAAGCTTCTGGCCTCAAGCAATCCTCCTGCCTTGGCCTCCAAAAGTGCTGGGATTACAAGTGTGAGCCACTGCACCTGGACAGAGAGCAGGATTTACAATTTTAGGAGCCCTATAGTTAAGCTAACATATATAGGTTTCCATTAATTAGTAATAAAATCTTTACACAAATATGTTCAAAACTCTGCCTTTTATTTCCCTTAATATTATACCTGTGTGGATTATTCTTGATCAAGAGCTACCTTACTACTAAACAGTGCTCTCAATACTCATCCACTTGCTGAGTGACATTTTTGTGTGTTTGTTGTTATTGCTGTTCTTACTATTATTTAGAACACCATTAAATGAATGCTCATAAGGTCAAACACTAGGCACTTTATTATATAATGATATATTAATTAATATACCTTGCATTAATCCTTGCAATCATTCAAAAGGAGGGTTTGTTTATCTCATTCAACAAATGAAGAAATGGGTTAAGTAGTGCACTTAGGTTACAAAGTTAGAAAGTGAAAGAACAGAGGTTCCAAATTCAATTCACCTATTTCCAAAACCTCTACCTTGATAATATACTGATCAAAGGATGACACGCATATTTTATACTTCCTTGTCTTCTCTTTGATATCATCTTCTTTAGTAAACTCCACATGAAAGGATGATAAAGAAATTTTAAAGTTCTACACAGATAAATGCTGGTCCCACATGAGACACATAAACTCTTTTACCTTTGTCCTCCCTATGTCTCCCACAGCTGGCCAACAACTGCATAATTATATTTATTTTTGTATAGAAAGATATAAAATTATAGAAAAGTTGAAAAGACAAATTTGTAAACTATTCAAAAGCATTTCTAAATTATGACTAATAATTATACTTTAGATTTAGCCCCTTATATCTTTTTATATCGTAAATAAAAAGTTAAAGAGATTACATGTGCCCTAAACTGCACAGAATATAAATCCTCTACCATAATATTATTAACATTACATAATCATGCTTTTTGTTCCAGAAAAAGGAAATCACTTTATTTATGATTTCTTTTTCATCCTTAGTTTCTAAAGGTAGAGGTCCCTCACTATAAATAGAAGAACGTCAGCACAAAAATTAAATGATTTTTTCAAAAGATGAAAACCTGGTATCTCAGATCTTTTTTCTAGTAAAATTTAGTGATCCATTAAAGACAAACATTTCTATGTAAAGAATAAAAAATAATCAGTATATATTACATAGAGAAAAATAGTTATTTTTACATATAAGAAATACTCCAAAAGGACTTCTATTAACTAAGCAATCATCTCAGTTTCCTGAATTTAAGGCAAGCATGAACATTTGAAGGAATACTTTCCAGGAATCATTAGCTTGCTTTCTCTGTGGATATTTTTACTCTTTCTCAAAGCATGTATGTTTCAATATTCTCCTTGTGAACAGTTCATGCAAACACTTCAGGAAGTAATATAATCAAATTCCTCAGGGGTCAAGACTAATGAAAATTAACTGCAGAACAGATACTAACATCAGTGTTACTGCTGTTGGGAACTCTTGAAAAATTCTTTTTTTTCCCCCCTTTAACTAAATCAACGGCTAAGAGACATAAAAATGATGTTATTCAAATTCTTCTAAATTATATCAAAATACTAAAGAGTGAATTCTTATTATTTTTGAGACAGGGTCTCACTCTCTTGCCCAAGAGTGCAGTGGCACAATCACGGCTCACTACAGTTTCAACCTCCTGGGTTCAAGGGATCCTCCCACCTCAGCCTCCTGAGTCACTACCACTACAAGCACCTGCCACCAACATGCCTGGCTAACTTTTTTGATTTTTAGTAGAGACTGTCTTGCTGTGCTGCCCAGGCTGGTCTCTAACTCCGGAGCTCAAATGATCCTCCCGCCTCAGCCAAAGTGCAGGGATTACTTTGAACCACCACACACAGCCAAGAGCAAGGAGTTATTTTAAAAGGGGGGTGAAAGGGTCTTAATTTTTAAGAGTGTGATAAATTTTTTTTAAAAAAATTAGCAGAGCATCAAAATTTTGTTCATTTACCTATGAGCTATGTTTCCTGACTTTTATTTATAGACTTGCCCCATCTCCAATCTAATGTAAAATGACAATTTTTAAAATATTTAAGACTATTTTAAACAAGTTTGCAATGAAACGCAGTGAACCAAAACAATAAGTCCCTTAGGCACACAAAAGCTACAGTAATATACCTTCTTAGGTAAGAATGTTTTGGAGTTAAAACAAAAACAAGTTTTCCATTTCACTAAACCTCTGACAAATTAAAAGTTTCATCGTTTGCAAACACATTGAATATCATACCAATTTTGTGGTGTCAAATGTATAAAAACATAATTATATCTGCACCAAAAAGTAATACACTGTACCTCAAAAAGTATAGGATTCAGTCAGGCATATTTTAAAAACTTAGATTTAGTTCTTAGAAAGGCTGGCGAATTCACAGTGTTTCATTACATGTTTTATAATTTAAATATATCCCTTTGTATGTTCCAAAAATTATTTCTGAAAAAGGGAAAAGTTAGATTCAGAAGCACTTACCTCAAAAATAAAAAGTATAGCATCCAATTCCTCTCTTTGAGACTTGTGACCTAAAACATTTTTATAAGAAAACATTTAAAACATATCATTTTGCCCTCATTGTTAACAATCACTTAATGAACTTAAAATATTTCAAGAATGAAGGTTTTTTTTTTTCCCCCAGCAATTATCTAGTAAAATATTTAAAGCATACTCCATTCATTGTGGCGACAATATCATAGTCACTCTCTTTACTCTTTTGAGTACTGTAATTAAATTTAGGTTCTACATATTTATGTCTAGAAACAAATCATGACATATTACAAAGAACTTCAAATAAGCTCTGAAAATGAAAATATGAAAACGACTGCTCAAACGTGTCACATGCTCCTAGGGCAGAACCAAAGAAGGCAGAATGAGGGAACAAATCAACCTGACCAGTGAAAAAGTAAATCTTCAAAGCCATTGTAAAGTAATAAGGATAGTAACGCTAACACGTTAGTTGTCTTTCAAATACAGGTCACTAGCCCTATGATAATAGTGTGAGAGGGAAAGCAAAAAGTTGTCTGACAAAAATAAATGAAACAATATGTCCAAGAGTCTTTAAGTTATGTTTATGACAATTATTAGAAATATTAACATAAGCCAAGATATATGTTAGCATCTTACCTTTCTGTTTAAGACTAGCTTCAATAGTCACAAAATTTTCAAAGAACACATAGTATATATGTGAAAAATGTTGGTCGAAAAACTGTTTAAGATCAATAGATTCTGCATTCTCTGAAAAATAAAAACAATTTACTGTTTATTTACATGTATATTAAATCAAGTTTAGCAAATATTCAGCGACAAGTTTCCTTCAAAGTCAAAGAACTGCTCCTAAAATTCTATTCTATTATTTACAATATGTATTTCTATGTCTATATCCTCATTCTTAAAACTTTAGTCTTTGCAGATTTTAGTTTTAATTTTAAAAACTGATCAAGAAAACAATGGCTCAGAAAAACTTATCCAAAATAATTAATCGTACAAAAAAAAAAGTTAAGTTCTATTTGCAATTCATAGCTACAGCTTCCCTAACGTTCTCTCCAAGACAGTTTAAAATCAGAATAATAATTTACGACATCGGAAGGTCAGGCACGGTGGCTCACGCCTGTAATCCCAACACTTTGGGAGGCCGAGGCGGGCAGATACCTGAGGTCAGGAGTTCGAGACAAGCCTGGCCAACACGGTGAAACCTCATCTCTACTAAAAATACAAAAATCAGCTGGGTGTGTTGGCGTGCACCTGTAATCTCAGCTACTTGGGAGGCTGAGGCATGAGAATCACTTGAACCCAGGAGGCAGAGGCTACACTGAGCCAAGATTATACCATTGCATTCTAGCCTGGCAGACAGAGTGAGAATCCACCTCAGGGAAAAAAAAAAAAAGAATAATTTATAATGTCTGAAACTATTTATTCAGTAAATAGGTACCCAAAAATAGGCTTTGTAAATAAGTATTTAGGGATTAAAAAGCTCAAACACAGACAGTACTGCTCTAAAGAAACTGTCAGTAAGAGCAGAGCATGTAAAATTAAACGAATAATTGTATGAACAGTAGAAAGTGTTAGTACTAAAAGTGAGATGTCAAAGTACATGGCAGTTTAGAAACACAAGAGTACTTTCAAAGCTCAATAAAACACAAAGGTGGGGAAAGAAAAAAGGCCTGACAGAGTACATAATATCTGAAAAGACTTTTAAGGACAGGAAGAACACTAGACATAAAGTGGTGGAGTTGAATGGGAAGGACATTCAAGGCATAAAAAATACATGGAGTAAGAAGAAAAACGTGAGGTATGCATGTACACATACGTAATAAACCTGCGTGTTATACACACATACGCTAGAACTTAAAGTATAATTTTAAAAAATAAAAAATAATTTACTATGAAGCTTTAAAAAAAAAAAAAAAAAAGGTCAAAGTGGCCTGGTTCTCTCAAAATCTCTGAGATCCAGACTGGAGAACTGTAGTTTCTGGGTCCTTCTTGGAAGAGATTAGCAAATGCAGAACCAGCAATCTGTCTAAATCAGTACAGTCTCCTAGAAATATAATGCAACCCACAAATATTAGCTACATACGTGATTTTAAATTTCCTTGCAATCACATTTTAAGAAACAAAATGACATGGGGAAATTAATTGTAATAATATATTTTGTTAACAAAAAGAAATCATTTTTAAGTGCTACCAATAAAAACTTATTAATGAAAAAAAGAAAGAAAAACGTGAGCTATGATAGTATCTAGAAAAAAAATTCATTTTGGCTAAAGCTTAGAACATTTTAATAAAAATAAACAAGTAGACTTGAGATATGCTTACATGTACTTATGTATATGTATATGTATTTATGCATAGAAGATACCAAACAACTAGGCAGCATTACCTCTAGGGAGCATGACTAGTTTTATTGTTGCTTAGTTCATTTTCAGGGTAAGTGAGAACATTAGTGAAAAAGAGTGGAGAAATTCTACTTTATATACTTCCTACTATTCTAAACTGTTTATAAAAAGCACATTACTTCTCTTACAATACAAAATATAATTTTTTGTTTCTGTTTTATTTTTTTAAGACGGTGTCTTGCTCTGCGGCCCAGGCTGTAGTGAAGTGGTACAATCTCGGCTAACTGCAACCTCCATCTCCAGGGTTCAAGCGATTCTCCTGTCTCAGACTCCCGAGTAGCTGGGATTACAGGTGCCCACTACCACACCTGGCTAATTTGTATATTTTCAGCAGAGACGGGGTTTCACCATGTTGGCCAGCCTGATTTCAAGTGATCTGCCCACCTCAGTCTCCCAAAGTGCTGCGATTACAGGCGTGAGCCATGGCGTCCAGCCTCAAAATATAATTTTAAAAGGCAACTGAAAAAATAAAAGATTTTTGAAAGGAAATAAAGAAATACTCATTGTAAATAAACTCAAGTTAAAGGTAAACATCAATTAATTTCTTAGAATGCACTAAGGCTCAACAGAAGATTTCAAAATAATGTGAAATAGTAACAACATACAGATAGTACTTTAAACTCTTTCATTATCATATCCTATGAATATTCATCATAATTTTTTGGAGGGGACAGGGTCTCACTCTGTCACCCAGGCTAGAGTGCAGTGGCATGATTACAACTCACTGCAGCTTCATCCTGAGTTCAAGCAATCCTCCCACCTCAGCCTCCAAAAGTACCTGGGACCCAGGTACCTCCCCACCACACCTAGCTAACTTTTGTAGAGATGGGGTCTTGTTATGTTGCCCAGGCTGGTCTCCTGTCTTGGTCTCAAAGTGTTGGGATTACAGGTGTGAGTCACAACACCTGGCACAGTAACTCTTTAGTGATGTTTTATCTATGTGATTTTCCAAGACTGTTTTTTGTTCTGCCATTCCACAAGGAAAGGGATAGATGCCTTTCCTCTCTATTCCCTTGGATTCTGTACATTTATCTTCTATGGAAAGAACAATGTTTCAACTGTCTTATCGTCTTTCTTCCAGGACTAGTCTAGCATCTTTAGAATAGAAACTGTGTCTACCTCAGGATTTCTAAAAATTGGCACAATGCCGAGCAAACAATATGTACTCAAATGTGTTTTATTACTAACAAAATTAATTATTTTTACTTTATTATAGTCAGTTCATACAATATGGAAGTTTTTACCTTGGAAAAGACTGCACAACCTACTGACAGGAAAATAGCACAGACTCATCTTGACTGGAATTACAAAACCCAGATTTCACTCCTGTTTGTAACACTACCTATGTGACTTTTCACAGAACTAGACAAAATAATAATGCTTAACACAAAGTGAAAGTTTTCTAAACAATGCGCACTATTCTCAGCACTTCACAGAAACTAATTCCTATAATCTACATAGCAATACTACAAAATTAGTACCATTATTATCTCCATTTTACAGATGAGAAAATTTAGGTACAGAGGGTCTAAGAAACTTAGTTCATAAGCAGAGTCAGGATTTAAACAACAGGAACCCTAGGTCTATTCAGCCTCCAATGTAACACATCTGTAAAAAAAAGAATACTAAATATTTACCTATTATCTGCCTATAAGAATAATAGTCATCAAACACTAGTTAAATATATTTTATCAAATATCAAAATAAAAACACATACAACTGAAATAAAGAGGAAAGGTGTTCTAGTTTTCCCACAGAATAGTTTAAAGAATTATGAAATTAGAATAAAACAGGCTTGGGCTGAGCAAGGTGGTTGACATCTGTAATCCCAGTACTTTAGGAGGCTGAAGTGGGAGAGTTGTTTGAGGCCAGGAGTTTGAGACCAGCCTGGGCAACACATTGAGACCCCATTTCTACAAAACTAAAAAATCAGCCAAGGACCCCATTTCTACAAAAACTAAAAATCAGCTAAGTATGGGTGGTATGTACCCCATAGTTCCAGCAACTCTGGAGACTAAGGTAGGGGAATTCCTTGAGCCTAGAAATTTAAGCTAAGTTGCAGTGTGCTATGATTGAGCCAATGCACTACAGTCTAGGCAACAGAGGGGGAGACCTTGTCACTAAAAATAATAATAATAATAATGATGATAAAGAAAGAAATAGGCTGCTATAATTACCTCTAAATTCTCAAAATTCACGTTTCAAAACACAATGTTCTAGGAGAAGGAGAAAATGGGAACAATAACAAAGCAAACCAGAAAAAAACACAACAAAAGCAAACATGAATCAACTCAAGATTTTAACATATTAGAGCCAAAACATTGTTCCCGATTTCCTTCCCATAAGGCATGCTAACAAAGTCTGGAAATTATGTATTTTTTTTTTTTCCTTGAGACGAATCTCGCTCTGTCGCCCAGGCTGGAGTGCAGTGGCACAATCTCGGCCGCAGCTCCACCTCCTGGGTTCACGCCATTCTCCTGCCTCAGCCCCCAGAGTAGCGGGGACTACAGGCGCCCGCCATCACGCCCAGCTAATGTTTTCTATTTTCAGTAGAGACGGGGTTTCACCGTGTTAGCCAGGATGGTCTGGATCTCCTGACCTCGTGATCCGCCCGCCTCGGCCTCCCACAATGCTGGGATTACAGGCTTGAGCCACCGCTACCGCCAAATTATGTACTTTTCTAATGCTAATAAAAAATGATCAAATTAGTGATCAAAATGATCAAAATCTATTTTTAGTGACAAGGTCTCCCCTCTGTTGCCTAGACTGTAGTGCATTGGCTCAATCATAGCACACTGCAACTTAGCTTAAATTCCTAGGCTCAAGGAATTCCCCCACCTTAGTGTCCAGAGTTGCTAAATTATAGGTACATGCCACCATGCTTGGCTGATTTTTTAGTTTTGTAGAAATGGGGTCTCAATGTGTTGCCCAGGCTGGTCTCAAACTCCTGGCCTCAAACAACTCTCCCACTTCAGCCTCCTAAAGTACTGGGATTACAGATGTCAACCACCTTGCTCAGCCCAAGCCTGTTTTATTCTAATTTCATAATTCTTTAAACTATTCTGTGGGAAAACTAGAACACCTTTCCTCTTTATTTCAGTTGTATGTGTTTTTATTTTGATATTTGATAAAATATATTTAACTAGTGTTTGATGACTATTATTCTTATAGGCAGATAATAGGTAAATATTTAGTATTCTTTTTTTTACAGATGTGTTACATTGGAGGCTGAATAGACCTAGGGTTCCTGTTGTTTAAATCCTGACTCTGCTTATGAACTAAGTTTCTTAGACTCTCTGTACCTAAATTTTCTCATCTGTAAAATGGAGATAATAATGGTAC